CGCCTCCGCCACCGCCGGAATCGCCCAGGGCTCCGTGAGCCCCAAGGCGGCCTGTCTCGGAGGCGGAAAGTGCCCCCACTCCAAGTTTGCGCCAACCCTGGGGAGTCGGGGCGCCGCTGGCAGGCACTGTGCGGAGTCGACTGCTCCTCAGAGAAACCTGGGTCGTGGGGCTGGTTGTCCTAAACAACGTGTGGGGGCGCCCCAGTCCCTGCTCAGGGATTTTCTGGGGGCAGCACTACAGGGCAGCGCCTGGCCGAGGTCCTCCCTGGGCTCCTGGGGCCGTCCTTTCCGTGGAGCTCTGCCCCGGTGGCACTGAAGGGCTGGGACTGAAGGAGCCCCCCACCAGGCAGCTGGAGATCCGCTCCTCCCCAAACTTGCTGCCCTCAAAATCCCCAGGATGAGAGGCTCTTGCATGGTGTGGGATCTGCGTAGATCTTCCTGGATCTTGCACTTCCATTTCACTGTGTTGGCTCTGGGTCACCACAGTGCCAAGTGACTTTCCAGGGTCCAAACCTGTTCCTGCAGCCTTGGGCCTTTTGCTGCTTCATGAATGCTTCAAAACGCACAAAAATCTAGAACCAAAACTTGAGCAAGTCACTCAGGATGGGCCATTGTCCTGCTTACTGACCAACTTCAGTCCAGGCTTCTTCAGAACCTACCCTTTCTCCTTAAGAAAACGAGTACAGCTTCCACCCTGGTTGGAATAAGGGTGAGGAGACTCACAAAGCCCTCCATGAACAAAACGGCCCCCCACTCTTCTCTTCCTCACATGGGCTGGCAGCTGCAGTGCTGGGGGCTATCCTGTATGGTTGTCCCCCACCCCCCCACCCCTGCCTCTCTTTCTTTTCCCTCTATGCTAACCCTCACCTCCTCTGCCCTTTTCCCTCCGTATCTTTCTTCCATTGCCATTATCTCTGGGCCCCCAACCCCCGTGGGAGACAGAGGGTTAAGATGTTCTGCAAATGCTGCTCGTAAAGTTGCTTGGATACATTAGAAACACATGAATATCCTGAAATACAAAGTGTCTTTAAAACCAACTGAGGAATGTTTATCCTAATGCTGGATGGATGCAGGGAAACAGTGCCAGGGAGCAGTGCTGACAACCTTCTCCCGGTTAAAGTGAGAGCAGGTAAATTTCATTTGCTAGTGAAAATCAAACTCCATTAAAACATAGTTTCCCTTTGTCCTTTTCTCTTCCAAGCCTGAGAGCCCAGGGCCCCAGGGCCCACACTGGTAAAGAGTCCCAACCCTTCACCCCCACCTCCCCCAAAACAGCCAAGGTCTCTTTCTTCAGCGGGAGGCTCCAGGACAGCTAGGCCCCACTGGGCACCCCGGCTTGCCCTAAGAAATAGGAAGCCATGCCTGCAGGGGCTGGCAGCTCCTGGAACAAAGGCCAAGTCACTGGGCTGCCGCTGCCCTCCATCTTGCCCTTGCTGCCCATTCAGGGCCCCTTGGGGTAGAGCAGGGAGCACCAGACAGAACGCACCTCCACCCCTCCACCCTCTTCCTCAAGAGCCACTGCCTTCGGCAGATCCAGCATAGCTCACAAAGGGATACTTTGTCATTGCCAGCATTCAAGTTGATGGCACCTCTCTGCCATCCCATAGGAATTCCTGAGCGTAATAGGAAAAAAAAAAAAAACCCAAACCAAACAAAACACATACACAAAAAGAACAACAACAACCCACAAAGCAGAGAGAGGGGTCAGGGCCAACGAGCTAAGCAAGCGAGTCTTGACCTTGCTGTTGGGAAAAAGAAATGCGCCGGGAGTGCTGTGCTTGCTTCCCAGAGGACGCGCCAGTGCCTCACTGCCCGAAACCCTTCTCCCCGCACAGCAAGCCAGTGCGGTGGCTGCCTGCAGGGCTCAGAGGCTAAAAAACAGTATTGGGAACCATTAGGAAATCTTTTAGGTCCCTGGACAAACGACATGGACAGAAGAGAAAGATTTTCTTGCTTCCAAGGGAGTAGAAATCCTAGAAATTGAGACCCAAAATTATTCACGGAGCTCATTCAAATTTTACAAACCACCCCCACTGGTTGGACTCACTATCTAACGGAACTTGCAGACTTTTAAAAACAGGGACAGCATGCCAGGACGTCGTTGACTTGCCTGATAGAAAAGTTACTTCATATATATATATCGACATCCAAGCCATGAAGAGAATGAGCAGGCTGCCTCCCTCTAAGTAACCATGTCTCAAGAGTTTTTGAAAGTTGATAGGGAACTAAGAAAAGATTTGAATAACTTGATCACTGAAGATCCACAACAAAGCTCAATAAATAATTCAGGCCTGAAGTCCTTCCCTGGCGGGGGGGCGGGGGTGCTGCCAAATTTAAGAAGCAAAGCCTAATTTGAAATGCAACCCAGAGCCTTCCCGCAGCGGCGTCCCTCGCAGACAAACCTGATCCGGGGCTCCTCAGCGGATAAGACGAAATCTTGTCTCACCATTTTTGGTGAGAAGGGCCCCAGTCGACTTTGGCAGTCTGTGGAGCTGGGGCCTGTCCTCTGCGCGCAGGGCTTGCTCTCCAGTGAAGTGGGGAGAGGGACGGGGGAATGTAGAGCCGGCCTTGGCCGCTGCGTGCACCGGCAGCTGCGCCATGACCAGAGGTGAGCTGGCACAGGCGCCAGCTGGTGGGGGCTCCCCGAGCTGTGTTTTCGTTTTTCCGGGTCTGGCTAGCAAACAGAAGAGGTTTGAAGCTCAGGCCAAGAGCAGGGCGGAGGCAGAGAAGAAGAGTCTGTAAACACCGCCCCAAAACCCTCACAAAGGCAGCAAAAATTGCTGGATATCCAGACAGAGCCAGAAACAAGAATTCCAAAGGAGAAAGGAGTCAAGAATGAGAGGAGATGGGTAGTGGGCCTTTCACAGCTGCTTGGGTCTGCAGGCTTGCATGGCAGTTCTCATGCTGGCTAGACTGCAACTTTCAACTTGACCTTGGCCTCCAGCCGAGAGTCTGACCCGTATGTAAAACAGCCCTGAAGTCCTCAGGAACTGAGGCCTTGAACCCTACCCTGCCTCTTTGTCACCATGAGTTTTACAATGCCACTTGGAGGAAGGAAAGGAGGGAATCAGGCCCGGGAAGTAGTACAAAAATCAGGTCCCTACAGAGGCCAGTTCTTTAGCCTGCAAATGGACAGTCAGGGAGGAAGTAAACTGGGGGCAAATCAATATTTACCCGGAGCTACTAAAAATGCAGGAGGAAAAGGACACACTGGTTATGTGTATGGTGAATGCCGGGGTGGGGGCAGGGGGGCGAGTCATAGGAGGTTTTATTGGGCAATGCTTACATTGGTCCCGGCAAACCTGGGGGTCAAAATCGATAAAAGCCTGAGCCCAGCCTCCTCGGTCAGCCTCCTCCTGCAGGAAGACCGGGAGCCTTAGAGATCCCATGTGGAGGGGCAGGAGTGAGGTTGCAGGGGCCAGGGATTTTCGAAGTGCCCTGAGCTTAGGGCTGAGTCTGCAAGCTGGGACTAGCGGGCAGGTCCTAACCTGGCTGCTCAGCAGTCCACCTGGGCTGGAAGGGACTGTATAGAGCACTCTCCCACCCCTGACATTCCCATGGAATACATACACCCACTTTCACTTTGAATGCACGTTCCCCTTCTGGGCATCTGACCAGATCACAGTCTCCACGATTGGAAGTAGAAGTGTTTCCCAAGCAACAGGACCCGCAGAACTCCTCACCCAGTTGTGGTCACTGCTTGGCTTCTCCAGCACCAACATCCCACGGTGCTCTCAGAAAAGGGTTGCATTCCCCAGACACAGAGGCAAGGCTTCTCAGGCGAGTTCTTGGATGGAGGAAGACCAGGTACCCTCTGCAGGATAGAAACTGTTCTCCCAGTCCCTCTTGGGAGGAAGGTGCGAAGTGGCCCCAAAGAACCCCTTTCTCCTGGCGTAGAACAGAGAGAAATAGGGGTGCCCAGATACCTGGAAAGTCAGCTCCTGCTCAGGCTCTATGAAGCTTCATTAGGCCCCAGAAAGGGGGGGGGTTCCTTTGAGTCCCAGCCAGAACCCCACCAGCCTGTTCCTCTTAAAATCCTTCCAGAGCTGGCCAGCCCCGCTGGAGGTGGGGAAGCACTGGAGAACGGTGCACACAAATCTCGCCCTCCACCTCACAGTCTCTGGGGGAAGAGCTGTTACTGGTGCAGAGTGAGGAGCAGTCTGTACATGCAAGTGTGAATGTGTGATCAGGGTACACTTAAATGTGCGTCGGTGTGGGTGTGATGGGTCCTTCTAAGCCTATCGGCCTAAATGCCAGTGTATGAAATTGCCCACCAACTCTGAGGACAAGGAAGTACAGGGAGCTCCTAAACGCAGTCCAAGCTTTCCGATGGAATGTCCTGGGATCCATGATCCAGGCGCATCCGAAACCGCCCAGCCACTGTTCCCCTGGAAAGAGAGCCAAATCCGGACGCTAGAGAAGAGGAAAGCACTAGTGTCCGTGGTGGCGTTTAGCTGCAGAAAGAGGCGTGGATAGATACCTGAAAAGAAAACAGCGCCGAGGCCCCAAGGAACACCCTGCCGCCTCGCTACTATACCATTCCCAGTTGCCCGCAGATTTACCTGTCCTGTCCCCATCGCCTCAGGTAGCAACCCAACAGCACCTTTCTGTCCCCTCCCAGCCTGACGCTGCTCTGAGCCCCACTGGGATCAGGGAAAGGACCGGGAGCGGTGAGGAAGCCTCCCGCCCTCCCCGCCGCACCGCCCTCTCGGGGCCCTGCCTCTCCCTTGGGTGGAGGGTGTGCGCCGCGCGGCGGGCGCTGGCGCGGGGGACCTCGCGGGCGGCGGCGGGTGCCCAGCACAGAGCCGTGGCTGGAGCCGCCCGCTTTGCATACGCCGTGGGCGGAGCGGGGGGCCGGGCCAATGGGCGGCCGCCTGGCGCGACCCCGCGGGGCGCGATCCGCCCCCCTCGCTCGGGCCCCGGCCCCGCGCGGCGCGCTCTTCACTTCTTGGGGGCTTTTTAAAACAGCGCCACTGGGGTCTCTCCATGCGGCTCGGGCTATGACAGCCTCCGTGCTCCTTCACCCCCGCTGGATCGAGCCCACCGTCATGTTCCTCTACGACAACGGCGGCCTCGTGGCCGACGAGCTCAACAAGAACATGGAAGGGGCGGCGGCGGCGGCGGCAGCGGCGGCGGCGGCGGCGGCCGGGGCTGGGGGCGGGGGCTTCCCCCACCCGGCCGCCGCGGCCGCGGGGGGCAACTTCTCGGTGGCTGCGGCGGCCGCGGCGGCCGCGGCGGCGGCGGCCAACCAGTGCCGCAACTTGATGGCGCACCCGGCGCCCCTGGCGCCCGGGGCCGCGGCCGCGTACAGCAGCGCGCCCGGGGAGGCGCCCCCGTCGGCCGCCGCCGCCGCCGCCGCTGCCGCCGCCGCTGCTGCCGCGGCCGCCGCGGCGTCGTCCTCGGGAGGGCCCGGCCCGGCGGGCCCGGCGGGAGCCGAGGCGGCCAAGCAGTGCAGCCCGTGCTCGGCGGCGGCGCAGAGCTCGTCGGGGCCCGCGGCGCTGCCCTACGGCTATTTCGGCAGCGGCTACTACCCGTGCGCCCGCATGGGCCCGCACCCCAACGCCATCAAGTCGTGCGCGCAGCCCGCCTCGGCCGCCGCCGCCGCCTTCGCGGACAAGTACATGGAGACCGCCGGCCCGGCGGCCGAGGAGTTCAGCTCCCGCGCTAAGGAGTTCGCCTTCTACCACCAGGGCTACGCGCCCGGGCCTTACCACCACCATCAGCCCGTGCCTGGCTACCTGGATATGCCGGTGGTGCCTGGCCTCGGGGGCCCCGGCGAGTCGCGCCACGAGCCCCTGGGTCTTCCCATGGAAAGCTACCAGCCCTGGGCGCTGCCCAACGGCTGGAACGGCCAAATGTACTGCCCCAAAGAGCAGGCGCAGCCTCCCCACCTCTGGAAGTCCACTCTGCCCGGTAAATGGCGCCCCCCTTCTCAGCTCCGGTCCTCCGGCTCTGCTCCAGCTTCTCCTCCGCTTGCTCCCGGGTCCCCCTGGTCCCCCTTTGCTGTCTTCCTGACCTGCCCTAGCGGCGCTGTACGTACCCCTGGGAGCCCGACCCGGCTGACCGGCGCTGCCCGCCCTGCCCTTGAGTTGGGCTGACTCCTGGCTCTCCTGGGTGAGGGATGGCTGGGAATAAGCTTGTTGGGACCCTGTTGGCTTCCTTCTCCCTCTGTGCCCCGCCCTCCCTAGCCCTTGACATCGATTTAAGGTTGGGAAATTGACCTGAAAACTGCTTACTAAATTGCTCGTATTCATTCTCTCAGAAATGGTTTCAGTGTCGAAGCATCAAGTGTTGGGGGTTGGAAAATACGGAGAGGAGCTAGGCACCGAACTGTTGTTGTCCCCTGAGGCCAGTGCTGAGGTGTGGGCCGCTAGGCCGGGCGATCAAGGGATCCCAGGCGGCCTGGCTGAGATGAGCAGAGGAGCCCTGGGCAATTTCATTTCAGTGCAGAACAAACCACTCTCTACCACTGACCCTCAGATTTGGGCAAAAGGCTGGATTTTGCGGAGCGTGGCAAAGGGTACCGGGCGCTGTAAAGCGGCTAGCTCCGTTCGAGCTGCCGCCTGTGTCCTGGCCTGGGTCTGATCCCCATGTAACTCGCCTTCTTCCCTACCTTCCAGACGTGGTCTCTCATCCCTCAGATGCCAGCTCCTACAGGCGGGGGAGAAAGAAGCGCGTCCCTTACACCAAGGTGCAATTAAAAGAACTTGAACGGGAATATGCTACAAACAAATTCATTACCAAGGACAAACGGAGGCGTATATCAGCCACCACCAATCTCTCGGAGCGGCAAGTTACAATCTGGTTCCAGAACAGGAGGGTCAAAGAGAAAAAAGTCATCAACAAACTGAAGACCACTAGTTAATGGATTAAAAGTGGAGAAAGAGGGCAACTTGAAGAAATGCTTCAGAACTCATTGCTTTACCCAGATAATGATTCTAATGCTTAATAATAATTGAAGAATGGGAAAGAGAGAGACACTGGCATTTTGCTTTCTTAAGGGCCATCTCTTTCTCCTTGGTGGAATCAACTATTTTAAAACTTTAAGAAATGGTAAAGACTGCCAGTTCTTCCGCCAACCCCACCAGACCGTTAAATGACAAACTCTAGAGTCAGATGTCAACCCCCAAATACGCAATTTCAGATAAGTTACGCATTTACTGAAATCTTGTAAGTATTTATGTGACCGTTACATTTTAGGACATTATGTTATATGGTAAATAATCCAAAAACCGGTTACAAACGCAGGAGGCTGTTGTGAACATCTGTTTGCCCTTCGCCATCGCCACCCCCTTTGCGTGTTGCTCAGTGACTGCTCAGGTAAATCTTAGTGAAAACTCTACCGTTGTTGTATGTTCTGCAAAACATGTCATGTACAGCTTTAGAAGGGAAAAGAGAAGGTACTGAAGTAATGATTTTGGACTGTTTCCTATGAAGGGAGAGAGAGAGAGAAAGCGTCTCCAAGAGTCATTTGTCTTGGTAGTAAATACAACTGGCTGAGCCTCTGAGACCGCAAGGGAACCCCAGGCTGGGAAATGGCCTTCTGATAATAATTTTTATGTGCTTTTATAGCAAGATTATGTTGTGGCATTTGGACTGTATTTTCCGCCCTGATATCATTTACTTTCCAAAGTATTTCATATAATTTTTTAAAAAAGTATTCAAAGCATCAGACAATTCACAGAATTCACTTTCTGTCAGATCTCCAGAGAAGTACCACCCCAACATGGTGGACTTTGGTTTAAATACAATTAATTTTTCATTTAAATTGCTATTTTCCAATATTTACTAAATATATTGCTGGAAAAATAATTTTCTTTTTTCTTTCTTCTTCTTCTTCTTTTTTTTTTTTTAGGAAACTCAGAATGGAAATCCATTCCCCTGAAATATTTAGATGTTTACATTTTATATTTTGATCTATTAAGGGATTCGTATTTTTCCATGTTTATTGTGTTACAAGACCACACTAGAAAGTTTAGGGTTTCATCTTCACAGCACATTTTTAATCATGCAGTTATTTCAGCCAGCACATTCATTTTGTTCATATTCACTATAAAATGCTATCTTGTAAATAAAGACATTAAGCACACTGTGAAAATGTATTTGTGCACCTGCTTTCCAAATATTCCTAAAAGTAATAATTAAAAAGCCTTAGACCTGTAGATAGTGCTATAGTGGTGTTAATTGTGTTAGTAAAATAGTCACTGCCATTAAAAGCTGAAAGAAATACTCATTATTTTCCTATGATAGAGTGCACTGCACAGAGAGAAAAGAACTATTTCCCCCATTCTTTTATTATTTAGTTGGGCTTTATTTTTTTTTCTACAAAATTTTTAAGCAAAGGGAGAAATCCCTCATAACCTAAATCCCCAAAATTTATTAAAATGCTTCAAGGAGGTTAAAATGTCAGGTATTCTGAAAATGAGGGGAAAAAAGAAAGGAAGAAGAGATAGTGTAAGTTCTCAGGCTCCCTGTAGAAAATGAAAACCAGTTGTTTAGTATCAGCGATGCCCAGGCTGCCGTATTTTAAAATCTGCTGTTGGAGCTGAATGCGTCTGAGAGGGCAGGTTTTGATATTTGTTGAAATGACAGGACTAGGAAAGGCCTTAAACCTTGACCTTGAGGAAAAAAAGACAATTTGTGACCTTGACTTTTGACAGCTCATGAATTGGCCTGGGCTGGATTAGTAGATCAAGGGCGCCACCTCGTGTTGACAAGCTTCCTTGTAATTCTTCAGCTTCAAGGGAATCAAAAGGTCTTACCTCCTTGACTCCTTAGAGATTTAGTACTCATTTCTTTGGCTCCAGACAGAGCAAATTTCAATATATGTAAGTTATACATGTGCCTGTACATATGTGAATATATATCATATATGTGTATACATATATGCATATTGGTGCTTGTGTGTGCTTGTGTGTGTATATATATATATTTGTAGAATCTGTACAGATATAGTATCATTAATTACTGCTGACCTGAGGTGTTGTAATTTAAGGTGATTTCTAGAGTTGAGGTACAAAATGTACTTTGCATGATGAAGTTTTGCCCCTTTTCTTTAATGGCCAAGTTCAGTTTGTTTTCATAGTGACTCGTTCTGCGTCAGATTTCTGCAGATCTGCTTTAAAGTTGTACCTTCTTGTCACGATCTCAGAGGTGCTCTTAGATAGCACCCTTTTCTGGCCCTCACCCTCCAAGGGGGTCTCCCATCCTAATTAGAGCTATAGGTGAGTCTATACAGCAAATAAAAAGCTTCAGATGCCTCACTCACTCTAGAATTCTAGAGTTACATTTCATAAATTCAAAGAAACCCACCTCTTAAGAGATCAGCATGGAGCGCGTAGAGATCTTATATCTACAAAAATGACCATAATACAAAGGCAGAAGGAGCATGATCCTAGACAGCTCAGAGCTGAGTGCTGCTCCCGGGTGGTGTGCAGTCTTGCATCAATGTTTGCAAAGCTGCCATTTGACTTGTGGAAGATACATATACATATAATATTAATAGCCACCATGGAAACGATAATTATTGTTTCTCCTATGCTCTGACCCCTAACAACACATCAGGTGCTGTGTTTAGAGTCATAAGCAATACATATGTATGTTTATATATTTAATATACACACAGGGTAATGTTTTTGTGGGACCCATGCTATGCACATAGTATATTGCAATGTTGGTGGAACCAGGAGCCTTATGATGCAGAATTTTGAAATGAAGTTAATTTTATCTTTGTGTTAGAGGAAAGTCATTGCGACCTGGAGAACCATATTCATCAGTTTACGGAAAATAATATTGTTTGGTTTCAAACCTGCCGGAAACCTCTCCAACCCGAAGACATAAACCTTGTTTCTAGATGGAGAATTATATAGCAGGCCTCTCTAAGACTGTCTCAAAAACAGCACAGTCCTGAAATGTACATGTGGAACGGCCTTGTGATGTGCAATCAAATCGTGCTGCCCCGAGGACTTTACTCCACTGTGGAAACAAAATGAAAACGATGCTTCGGATCCACCTCCCCAATTCTTGTGCCACAACACTCTATTTCTGCATGGGCTGCCATCATTCCAAAGTAACAGCTTTCACCCAAAATGTTTAAAGGGATCGAAAATCCCCTCAAAACTGGATTGAACAGTGTGTTTACAAACGGCTCCAAAGGGGACTCTTCTGTTGATGGAGATATTTTTCTTTAGATGTAAGAAATATTCTGAGCCTCAGGCCTAGGAAGGAGGTCAGCAGCAGCTCTGCAGAGGAATACCGCCCCTTTCACAAGCCATCCCCACTGCAGGAACTCTGGGTAAAGTAGTTGGTTTTTTCTCCCCTCCTCTCTCTCTCTCCAGTTTTTGAAACTAATGACAGAGGATATTTAAGAGTTTTTTTAAATTACTCCCTCCTTGTTCTAAAACAGTTGTTAATAATGTTGATCTTACCTAACTCCTCTCTTATTTAAAACTCTCCTGGATTTACCAGACACCCTGAAGTAAGCATGGATTATGGTGGCTCTCGAATGCTCCCAAATCATCCAGTCTAAACCTTTAGAAAAAAGACATCCAGGCAGACGCCAGCCACCAATCTAGGAAAAATAACGCCAGATACTGTGATAGTGTTGCTGCATAGCTGATTGGAATATCTTTTTTTCTAAAAGGGAAACTTTTTGAGTAAGATATTGTAAATATGCAAACAACTAGACACCATTTTCATTTATTAGACTAGCAAAGATTTTAAATCCTGTAATGGCCTGTCATGTTACCATTAAAAAATTGTAAATATGGAATTTGGGAGGGGAAAACCCTATTTTTTTCCATCTGCTCTTAATACTGTCAAATTTATTAAGGTATTTTAAGTGGATGATTGTAAAATGTCATTACTATTTATGCCTGATGCAGAGCTGAAGTCATGCATTTAAATTGTGTGGGGTTTAACAAAAAAATACAAGAAAAGGGGAAACAAAATTATTTTTTTTTATTTTAACCTAATTGAAATATTTTCTTAAAATTCACGGGGCAGCGCGTTTCAACTGAGGGTGATTCTAGTACGTGTGCAGGTCGCGACAGATTTCACCGTGCGATGTCTGTGCCGCTCACACCTTGTTGAGTGTGTTTGCCGAGGATGCGGCCTCTCCGGCGCTCCCGGCGAATTCTCGAGGCTGGATCGAGACGAAGGCGGCCCGGGGACTGCTCAGCTTAGACCCGGTGGGTTCAGAGGCGCCTCTCCGGGTCTGCGGACCTCTCCGGAGGAGACGCTGGGGGCAAGCTGATTTATGCGCATTCCTTTAAAGTTGATAGAATGCGTGTCAGCTGCCCAGGACCTAGAGAATCAGAGAAACGTACAGCGAGTTGCCCACATCCCATTTTTTCATAAGCAAAAAAAAAGAGGCGTTATCCAAGAGGCCTGCAGAGATTTTTTTTTTTGCCTAGGTTTTAGGAGAGGCACACAATAATTAAGGTCTCATCTGCTAGGCCACCGGGCAAATAACAGGTGACTGCATTCTTTAGGAAAACACCCACTTTCTGATCAGCTGCTTATATCGTCGCGCAACTGCCGGCGTCCACCAAGGCCTGAACGCTGTTTGCTATTTTTAATGAGATTTTTAAAGAGAAGAAAATAGACGCTGGCACAGAAAACCGTCTCGGTTAGTACAGCCGAGGCTGCGTATTTCATTTCTGCACGGCCCCGTCGCGCGGCTGAAGAGCCGGGTGGCTGCGGGCGCGGGGCTTCCCCAGCTGCGGGGGCGCGGACCCGCGGGAGCCGCGCCGCCGCGGGCTCTGAGCCTCCGGACGCCGTGCCCGTGCGGGCAGACGCGAGGCTCAAACCCTCCACGCTTGTTCGCGAACCCTCGACTCAAAATGGAGGCTCCAACCCTGCGGAGCCCGCCGCGCTCGGGGCTCGCGGGCGCGCGGACCGCTCTCGAGGCCTGGGACCCCCGGCCTGCGCCCCTCGGACTCCGAGGCACCGGCACCCGCCCCGGGAGCCTCCCCGCAGCTGCAGGCTGACGTCACCGCCGCCCGAGCGGGCCTCCGCGGGCGTTATTTGCGGAGGACGAGCGGATTGCAATGAAGGTTTTGTGCGGGTGCCCCCTTCTGCGCCCCGCCCCTCCCTCCCCCAAAGAAGAACTGGGTATTTAATCTCTCCCGGTTTTAATTCTTGGCAGCGTGGAAGGTGGTTTGCAACGGGAAATAAAACTTGACAGGGGCATTTTCTCTAAAAGGGGTTCTGAGACGGGCTGAAAAGAAATTGTGTTTTTCTCTACCAAATGCTTCCGTTTTCCGAGCCCCGGGCCAAGGGGTGGGGTGAGATCCCAGGGAGCCGAGCGGGGAGCCAGCCGCGCGCAGGGCCAAGTTGTGGGCCCGAGCGGCCAAGTCCGGTCGCCCGGGCGGCCTCGGGTCTCCGCCTGGGCCTCGCCGCGCCCCGCGCCTCTGAGACACTCGGCCTGGCGCCGTCCGCCGCCAGAGGCCAGGTCCCCGCGAGTGCGCGAAGTTGGCGCGGCCAGGGGCCGGGTTGGCACACACAGTAGTAGCTGGTGCTGGCCGAGGGCGGCCGGGGTCAAGCGAGAGAAGGGGACTCCGGGTAGGGCCTTAGGCTGCTTGGCTTTATCTCCGAGCCTTTTGGCCTAGGGGAGTTGAAGACAAGAACTCAAAAAGGAGATGGCGAGAGCACTGCTGGGTGCTTTGTTCGGGCTGAGGGACTGCGGACCCTGCACAAAATGGACGGGGAGTGGGGGTGAACGGTGCAGCAGAAGAGGATTGTGCGGGCTTCTATTGGGTGGGAGAGCCTGGAGACAACAGGACCCCCCTCCCTCCAGCTGAGAGAGCGACCTCCCCTCCAGCCGCAAAGGTCAAGGCCTCCACTCCATGGCCGTCTCCGAGGTCAGGGCGGGTGTGCTGCGGCAGCCCCAGGAAGACAGGATACACAATGGCTGGGCGACATGCAGGTTCTGATAGCTTGGGCTGGAGGACCTGGGGCAGGGGTTCTTTTTTGGTTTCTAACTCCATCACCCCGAGCCCTGTTGAAGTTCCGGCAGCCACCTATGCAGCCAGTGGTGTGGCTCAGTCTGTGCCACCATGGAGTCCTGGAAGAGCAGGGTGCGGGAGACTTGAGTCCGTGAGGCCTATCCCCTGTGAGAGGCAGCAACGCCTGCAAGGTGGAGAGATGGGAGATGGAGATGGCTGGATCTGAGTTCTGAGTCCTTAACTCCCATAGAAATAAGAGACCAGGTAGGGACCAGGTAGTGCCAGCGGGCCACTGGGCCAGGAGTAGGTTGAGGGAGCAAGTACCCTGATGGGAGCCTCTCCTGAGGTGCCTGAGTCCGGGTGGCTTCCTCAGTGCATGGCAGGCCTTTGATGAGACCTTTGATGCTCTTCCTCTCCTGCCTAAAGTCTGAGCCAAGAAGTGAGGTGAACTCTTCCAAAGGTAAATATCCGTGGTCCTCGGCCCCAAGAATGCCCGCACTGTGTTCTGGGGGCGGGGGGGGGGGGCTCACCTCCGCCTGTGGCCTTCGGGCAGCAGGTCACCACACCAGGCCCAGCAGTCAACAAAGCATGAGCCTGGTTTGCTGCTGAGCTTATGGCTCCAGGTAAAACAAAGATTTTGTCTTCCCCCACCCCAAACGGAACACAGACAAGCTGGGCTTTATCCCTAGGGCTGCCTAGTGGAGCAGGGCCTAGAGGGAACACTAGTGGCTGCAGAGATTGCCTGTGGGTGGGTACCATGGCAGGACTGCCTTGCAGTGCATGGGGCAGGGTTGGAATGCACAGGGGCTCATCCTTCTCAAGTCTGGAATATGAGCCATGAGTTGTGGCTGAGTAGAAAGGGAGGAGGCTGGGGAACTGTCCCTGAGGAAATGGGGGTTTCCTGTGAGCTACAGCTGAGGGAACCCAGGCCCCAGGGCCAGAGCTCCCCTTCTGGTTGGGTGGCCCTCATTTGTCCCCTTTATTGGAGACGTAATCAGCTGGGGAAACCCGTTTGGGCCGAAGTTGCAGAAAGAATGGAAGGCAGACGCTGAAAACCAGGGACTTGCCCTTCAAAGTTCCTCCCACCCCATTTGTTCCCATTCGGCGGTGGGTGGTGGGGAAGTGTCTAATGAGTGCACAACAATAAAAATAATAGTTCTTCTGAAAAAAGTAACCCTTTTTTCCCCACCAGTTTGGAGCCACTAAACTAAATAATAACCAGGTGGTTTGGGTGTCTGAGACCTTCAGTTGGGCCCTAGGCCCCACCCCTCAGGGGCCAAGGGAAGAATGTGGACTTCTCCAGATAATTTAGGGATCTCTGATGAGAGAGCCTGTGGGTCAGAACCAACCAAAAGTTCAAGTTCAAGACATTACCTGTTCCCATGCTTTCGGAAAGGGGAGAAGAGCTTGTGGACAGGTGGGTGTCTTGCCGACCCATCAGGATAAATTAACCCCTGCCTCTACCCAGCAGTGACAGAGAGGACTGTCTGGGTGTAATATCATCTCAGCCTCAAAGCCGCCTCTGAACGGTACTGATCTGCTGCCAGACCACTTCCTAGTCTCCTGAGAACAAATGCTTAGATGCCCTGGGCCTTTCCAGACAACCCCTATTCGAGGCTCGCCGTGGAGGACAGATGTACCTCCAGAACACCTCCCACTGGGAAGGAGAGAGCCCTCCGTGGAGGCCTGGCCTCTGAGCAGGGACCAGGAAAGTGTCGTGTGGTCATTTCCACCCTGGGCCCTCCAGCTGGCTCTTGCACCTGTGTGCAGTATGGTCACCCAGTTTTCTGTGTAGCTTTCTAGAAACAGGTGTGACATTTACGGACAAAGAAAGGTAGAGGCTCAGACCAAGGAGAGGCCAAAAAAAAAAAAATTGGTGCCTTAAGTGATCCATAGGTACATGACCATAGATCTTTGGGAGAGAGTTTATCAAGTGAGCCTGACTCCTCCCAGGCCAGCTGCCACCCAGGATTGCGGGGGCCGAGAAAAGCAGAAGCTGGGTCCTAGAAGAGAAGGTGGACGTGCTGGAAAGAGAGGGAGGGAGAGAAAAAGCACAGGGTAGGGCCTTGGAATGGAGTATTCAGAAGATGATAAATCCAGTTCCGATTCCCGGTGGAAGCTGGAACTGAGGAAGCGTCAGGAACCTCACAGGCCCCCTTCTCTGTGCTGGACTACTGGGTGCCCTCCACTGGCACCTCAGCTCTTGCTCAGCCTATGAGAGGCATGGGAAGAGGCAGGAGGCTGAAGAAGGGGGCACTCCCCTGGAAAGAGGCAGGGCAGGAGACAGGCAGGGAGTGGCTGCAGGGAGACAGGACTTGGCCAGGGAGGAAATGGGGTGAGCGCGCAGCCTGGTATTGGGATTACACTATGGACCCCACACCCAGCACTCAAAGGGTTGCAAGTGCAGGCAGTGGGGGGACAATGAGCCACTACCGGAGCCCAAGCCAGTTCCAGAAAAAGAGGAGTGCACAGCTTCGCCCCAGGGCCCGTTGGGGTCGGGAACAGCGGAGTCTGGAGGTGTCCTCTGCCCCCAGCTCTATCCTCCCTTGCTGCCGAGCAGGTGTTAAGCCGCCTATCAAGTGACAGTCCTTTCGGGCTCAGGCTCAGGTCCCTCGAATGACTCCGCTGGAAACGTCCCCAAGCACAACAAGCCCAGGGAAAGGCCTCACACCGCCCCGGTGCGCACTGACCAGCCAAGGCTACCCAACCCCGGGCACCGCCGACGACCGCCCTCCGGCTGCTGCCCAGACCCATCGGCTGCAAGAAGAAGCGGAGGCGGCAGTGCTGGGCAGAAGCACCTGGGCACACTTTATTCCGATAGCCTGCCTAGGAAGGCGCTGGGGGCGCGGGGGCGCACGAACCAGCCTGTCCCTGCCCGGGCGCACTCAGCCCACTGGAGAAGGGTCTAGAGGTGCTGCAGAACTCCCCTACCCACCCCCCCACGCACCCCCGAACATTAGGGCCTAATCAAACGAAGCCTTGGAAAGGCGAGGTCTGCTTTGCTGAGCAAATCTCCTCGTTAGCCATTTCCGCCTGAAGAGGTTGGCGCGGGCGGGCGCCAGCCTTCTCCGCTCCGGGTGGCCATCTCCAAAGGCTGTGCGGGGAGCGCTGGGGCCGGCCCCGCGAGGGCTGCCTAGACCTTGAAGTATGGAAAAACAACAAGAAGAGAAGTTTGGAAAAACAACACGAAGAGATTGAAACGGCTCCCTCCCTTCTCCGCAGACACGCACGCACCGTCAGTCCGCCGCCACTTCCTGCCTTTGTTTTTCTTCCTCCAAAACATTTTTGGCCTCTTGCATTCGCTGCCGTGGGACTCCGGGTTGACGAGAGAAGGAAATACATGCTGAATATTGTTCTCTAGAGATGGCCCCACGCTGTGGAAATCTTGAGAAAGAACGGCTCGTGAGAAGCCAGTCTCCAGGGCCAATGTCATAGTCTTGCCCGGCTCAGCCATTTCAAGAAATGCAACTCGGACTTGGACTTCCAGGGCGGCCTTAGTCCCCGTCGGGTCTTCCTCTGAGCCCTGAGCAGGGTGGGCTCAGCTCCGCTGTTGGGCCTCCTGCAAAGCGGAAGAGTCAATTAGGCTCAGAGCAAAGTCAAAAACCAAGAACCCCAGGTTCTGCCTCCCCTGCTTCCCCAAGATTTGGTCTGATCCTCAGAGCTGCGCCCACCCTCAAACTCCCTCCCCCAAACATTCACACAGCCAGTATATTCTGGGCAACCAGGGCAGGAATGGGCGAAGCTGGGAGCAGTGCCGCGGCCTTGGGGATCTGAGAGCCCACGCCTGTCCCACCCTGCTGGGAAACTAAAGCATTCACTACCCTAGATGTTTTCCCTTCTCCTGGCACCCAAAGCCTTTGCCCTCATCCACCTTCCCAGCTGTGCCCCCACACACCCCCTTCCAGGCTACCAGGCCCGCCCAGCACCCCATGTCTGTACAGCCTTTGGAATTGCCCTGCCAGCCGCTCCGGAGCCCCTTCCTCTGCTCCAGCCTTTCCTCCAGCATTTGCCTTTGTCTCTTGCAGACACCCATGGGATCCAGACCTGCCGGCACCCCCTCTGCTGGGTTCGCAAGGACACGGAAGACACTGGTTATGCAGAGCAGAGCACATCCCCGTACCGACCTTTCTGTGGGGACCTCTTCTCCCTGGCACCAAGGGGTAACCGATCTAATTAGGAGAGGGGCTGCAAGCAGCCGGGGGAGGCAGCCTGGCGTCCCCCGCTGGCAGGCCACCACAGCCTGTCTGCTCAGGCACAAGCTGAAGTTGACTGCCAAAAGTGCTATAAAACCCCAGGTCTGTCTAGAACTGTTTTCGGTTCCCCTAGACGCCCCCGGGTTCAATTATAGCCTTAAAAGCCCTAATACAAGTGCAAGAATTTGTTTGCCTTCACCCAGGGGCGGGGCAAGCCCCGCAATGGTGGCGCCTTTGTTACAGCACAGTCACTGAAGCCCCTCATGCATTCCTTTTGTTTGAGGGTGGGGGTGGTGGGGACTGGGTGGGCTCTTGGGAGAGAGTTTGGGAGAACCAAAATCAAGCCAGGGAATGGCTCAAATACTGCTCATTGAAAACCTCTTCTTCCCACTTTTAATTCTGTCTCCAAAAAAGAGACACTGTGGAGAAATAAATATTTTGCCTTGTTGGGCGCTGCTGGAAATCGAAGTTTGTTTGTCTTCTTTCCGCTGCAAGGGAATCCCATGATTGTGATTCGCAGCTTTAGGTGGTCTCCAGCTACCCTTCTCCGACCATCTTTTTCCCACTACACCCTTCCCTCCACACTGCTACCGCCCTCTGCACAAGCCACAGTGGACAAATGTGTCCCGTTAAAGATGCAGAAATAATTTCGAGTTCTGCTCTGAGGGATTACAGGGCATGAAAGTTCTTGCAGCAAAACCTGAATAAAGAGTTCATTAAACCAGTGTGTTAGAGTAGTGTGATTTGTGATAAGCTACCCTGTGGGTGGGTTGGGGGGAGTAGGAACCACATAAACATTAATGCTGATAAATTAGTTTACTCCACTACAGAGTAATTATTCGATATCATTGATATTTACAGCGGGCATTCGAATGCAATGGTGAGCCATCACTTGGAGAAAATACATAACGAGAATACTCCTTTTCCAGTGCAATACATGATTAGATTTGTTATTGAGTCAGTTACAGTCAGCTCAGCAATAAATAAATAAATCGATGTTGACACTTAAATACCAAAGATGTTAGCGTTTATACTCTAAATCTCCCCAAGATATATAAATACCTTCAGCTATTTCCTGGATGGGGAAAGGGAAAAGGTTATTCTTTTTCATTTTCGACTTCGTTTCAGGCACATTCAGCTCCTTCCAAGAAGATAGGTGAGGGGCGGCCTTGGGGCTGGGCCCCTCCCTGCCCCCCGGCTCTGTCTGGCCGCTCTGCATCTTTTTCTTTCGATTTCCCCCAAACGCTGTTCATTCACTCTTGCAGGAGGGTGAGCATTTTTCACCATCATTTTTTTTTCTTTCCTTTTTCCAAGAAAACTAGACTCACACTAGCGGCTATGGCCTCTATCTTTATATTTATCTCCCACCTAGCCTTTTAAAGGCAGCTGTCACCCCAGGTGAAGGGAGCTTGGGGAACGCATCTCTCTTCTTTGGCATTCTGTTTCTTCTGTGGGAAGAGTAGCAGGAAAGGCGCCGGAACCTGCTGAGTCTCTGCCCTGCACATCTCTGGCTCTCGTGTTTTGCAAGAGAGGAGGCATGTTTACCCTTCTCAGCCACGCTCCCTGGTCCTCACCCCCTTCTCGCGGCCCCCACTATTCGCATAGCTCCGGAGTTCTCTAGAAGCCTGGTGGGTCCCTGAAGGTGCGGCATACCCAGGAAAAGACTCCTCGAATGTCACCGCCTCTAAAGCTGCCCAGGCTCGCCTCTACCGCAAGGTTTCGAGAGTCCTCAGCTTCCGAAGACAAGGCGGGCGGGCGGACCAGTGCGCCCCTGCCCAGCCACCGCGCCTCTGGCTCTGCGGAGTGACTCCGACCCCCCGCGGGCAGCGGGGAGGAGAGAGTGGGGAGAGGAGGCCGGCCAGGAGGGCGAAGGGGAGGTGGATCCCGGGTAGGACGAAGGCCCTCCGGGACCTGCGGATCCCTGACAAACCGCGGGGGAGGCCGCCTGGTTGTTGGCGGTTTAGGGACGGAAGGCACTAAAGCGGTTCGGAAGTGACCATGAATGCGAGCGTGTAATCAAGTCACCGTGCAAATCGGGCAAGCCTCGAGGCAGGCACATCCTCGGTGGCGAACCCTGGCCCCGAAGAGGGTCCGGCCGGGGTCGGAGGCAGAGGTGGCTCCGAGAGCAAACCTGTGGGAGGGAGACAGCTTAGAAGGAGGCGGGAATGCGATCCCCCAAGTGAACTGATGCCACGACCGCGCATGGGACACGCAGAGAGGAGCTCCCGCCCGGACACCCCCAGCCCGGGTCTCCCCTGGCCCGGGGAGTGGTGAGTGGCAGGAGTGGAGCCCTCTCGCCGCCCACGGCGCACCCGAGGGCCAGGACCGCGCGGCGGAGCGCAAGCCGGGCTCCCCCCAGCCCCGCCGCGCGCCGGGAGGCCCCCCAGCCAACATGAGTTACACCGGCGATTACGTGCTTTCGGTGAGAACACCGAGTGACGATCTGTTGCTTCCCCTGAGGTAGCTACAAAGAAAGAAATCCAGGAGGGAGGGGAGGGAGAAAAAAAAAAAAAAAGGAAAGGGGGGGAAAAAAGGCCCGGACTAGCTCGCAGCTTGTCAATTTCAACATCGGGTCACATGACCAGCACCTCCCTGCTAAGGATGGGGATAGATTTCCACGTCAGCTTACGTCTCCAAATTTCTACTTCACGGATCCGCTTCAAAGAGGCAGCTGCAGTGGAGAATCATGTTAAGCTCGGCTACTGCGGAGAGCCCAAGGTAGCCCAATGATGGATTTTGATGAGCGTGGTCCCTGCTCCTCTAACATGTATTTGCCAAGTTGTACTTACTACGTCTCGGGTCCAGATTTCTCCAGCCTCCCTTCTTTTCTGCCCCAGACCCCGTCTTCGCGCCCAATGACATACTCCTACTCTTCCAACCTGCCCCAGGTCCAACCCGTGCGCGAGGTGACCTTCAGAGAGTACGCCATTGAGCCCGCCACTAAATGGCACCCCCGCGGCAACCTGGCCCACTGCTACTCCGCGGAGGAGCTCGTGCACCGGGACTGCCTGCAGGCGCCCGGCGCGGCCGGCGTGCCCGGCGACGTGCTGGCCAAGGGCTCGGCCAACGTCTACCACCACCCCACCCCCGCCGTCTCGTCCAATTTCTATAGCACCGTGGGCAGGAACGGCGTCCTGCCCCAGGCTTTCGACCAGTTTTTCGAGACGGCCTACGGCACCGCGGAAAACCTCGCCTCCTCCGACTACCCCGCGGACAAGAGCGCGGAGAAGGGCCCCCCGGCGGCCGCGGCGACCTCCGCGGCGGTGGCGGCGGCGGCAGCGGCCACGGGCACGCCGGCAACTTCAAGTTCGGACGGCGGCGCCGGCGGCTGCCGGGAGGCGGCGGCGGCGGCGGAGGAAAAGGAGCGGCGGCGGCGCCCCGAGAGCAGCAGCAGCCCCGAGTCGTCTTCCGGCCACACTGAGGACAGGGCCGGCGGCTCCAGTACGTATAAAGGCAGGGCGCAGCGCTTTATGAAAGGGGAGTTGGAAAGCTAGCGCAGCACCGCTGTTAAATTTTTATATGCTGTTTTATAAGCATATAAGGTTTATGAAGGGCCTTTAGGTTTCCCCCAACAAAACTTTGTTATAAAAGGCGGGATCACGTGGCGAGTGCTGAAATTGGCCGTGAAATACCCACCGGCCAAGGCATGCCTGCAAAAAAAAAAAAAAAGAAAGAAAGAAAGAACGAAACCCCCAAAAAAACCAAACTCCCTTTTCCCCCTTCTCGGCTCCCAGGCCCCGCAGCTCGACCCCGCTCAGGGCCAGCTCGGGGCTGGGGAGCCGGAGGTGGGCGCCTGTAAATTCCCCCTGCAAGGGCTCCGGGAGCCTTTGATAGCGAGGTAATCCGGAGATTTTTATAAAAACCATGTGTTGCGCTGAGTCTCCAGTCCCGGCCGCGATTCAAAGGCATCGCTGTTTAACGATGGCGCTAGAAGCGTGTTTAGCAGATAAAATAGCCCGCTTAGCTCGAGCAATATATTAAAAGAAACAAATTAACCCAACGTTGTCTTTTTTTTTTTTTTTGACCAAATGAAGTCATTCTCCTCCTGCGCTGTGGCAATTACTTGCCGCCTTCTGTCCATCCGCATGTTACTCACAATTGCTATTCAATCTGTCAAAAGCGGGGTTTTCTTTCTTTATGTCTTGTGGAGTTTTATCCAAAGGGGGAGCGAGCGGAGCCTGGCCGCAGCTTTGGCAAACCCTCTTCCCCCCACCCTATCTAAAAAAGCAGCCTTGCCCTAGGGGAACCCGGACAGCGGTGTGGCCCGGTGCTCAGAGAAGGCCCAGGGTAGGGGCTTCCGCTGACACCTCCTGACCTCGCAGAAGCCAGGAGGCTGGCCAGAGAGGCAAGAGCTGGTGGCCAGGACTCAGGCTGACAAAAGAACCGGCAGCTGCCCCACATGTTAAGCAGGAGAAAGACTGGGACAGGGGGCTGGGGGCTGGGGGCTGGGGCTGCCTTTACTGCCTCAGGATCTGGCCGCCCAGGTACTGGAAGGTGAAATGTCCCTGGGCGACTGTTTGTTTAGTCTGGCCAGGCTGGAGGCAGCCAGCAGCCCCCACTCAGCTAGGAAGTGAGCCTCCCCGGCACAAACTCTTCCCTGGCTGTGAGGAGCCCTCCTTTCTGCTTTGTAGGCAGCAGGAGCGGCCTCCCTGGGGGCCTATCTAGGGAGCTGACTTTTATCTGGGGCTGAGCCTCTGCCTGCAGCCTGTCCCCAACCCACAGTAGAAGCCTGAGGGTAGGGGCCTGGAGAGACCCTGAGGGGGCTTGGGCAGGGCCTTCCGTCGCTGGAGCCAGCCCCTTTCCCCCACACAGGGCTCTGGGATGAACTGCAGCCCCCACACCTGGCTTACTCCCTGCCTCTTCCTCTGCAGGTGGCCAACGCACCCGGAAAAAGCGCTGCCCCTACACCAAGTACCAGATCCGGGAGCTGGAGCGGGAGTTCTTCTTCAGCGTGTACATCAACAAAGAGAAGCGTCTGCAGCTGTCTCGCATGCTCAACCTCACCGACCGTCAAGTCAAAATCTGGTTTCAGAACAGAAGAATGAAGGAAAAAAAAATTAACAGAGACCGGTTACAATACTACTCGGCCAACCCGCTTCTCTAAAGCTCCAGCCAGTTGGAATTGGGTGGGGGGCTTCTTACACATGAGATTACATGCAGATTTTGCCCTTGACAAGGTCAAGGCACACAGTGACTTTTGAAGAAAGGAGGTGTGCAAGAGAAGGGGCTGCTATAAGGAGATAGCCCCAAAGAAGGCGGCCTCGGACTCTCTGGGGCATCTGTGGTTAAGATTTCTAGTAATAATTGGATTCAGAGAGTTGTGCATCAACTAGGAAGAATGGTTTGGGACCCCTGGTGTTTCAGTCTTGGAGCCTGAGGAGCTTCAGGCTGGGTGTGGTCTCCATGAGGGACTGGGCCCCCTGCCAGGCCCCCTGGAGATCGACCTCCCAGGACCCTCCACTTGGAGCCTGCCTTCCCCCACCCCAGGACCCCTGCATCAAGAAGCTTTTCAACCTCCAAACCCAGTTCAATTTGGGGACAGGAGCGGAAGGAAAGGGAATGATTCCTAGATGTCCGGAATGGGGCTGCTTTCCAAAGCCAATGTGAAAGACAACTGGACTAAGAGGTGGATTATGAGGTGGGAGAGGGATGCTGATCCTGGAGGAAAAGCAGAACGAAAGAGAAATCTACTATTCCTGGTGGCATTGGTGGCTTTCCACCTCTTGTAGCCACTCACCGCACTGTCTCAGGCCCGAGCTGCTTAGCAGTTGCCTCCTGTAGCCCACCTAGTTTATCCTATCATTGAGGGTCTTCGTCCTGGTCTGCCACTCAGGCAAGCCTAAAGCTTGGTTGCAGAGTAGACTATTCCCCAAGGTGGAAGACATCAAAAAGCAAAGAGGCTGAGCCCAGGCCGCTGGCCCCTCGATCTCTGCAGGAAATGCCTGTGGAGTGCGGCAGCTTGGCAAAGCCTCTGCCCCACTTAATTGAAGCTTGGATTTGCTCAGGGGAGGAGCCGGCCTGGCCAGCGGTCCCCAGCTATGAGGGGCACAAGTTCTCCAAAACACCGGGTTCTGGTGCCACCACACTCTGCCCCTCAATGCCCCAGAACTGATCTTGGGAGCTTCCTGCGTGCGACCTTCCAAGAGATCAAGAGTGATTTGGAATTATTTTAAAAGATAAATATTATATTATATATATATATATTTCCCTGCAGAACCAAAGCAAATTTCAAAAGATACAATATAGAGGGGGAAAAGATGATGAAGAAAATATTTAAAGGCTCTATCTGTTTACAATGTTCCACGGTTAAACTCACTCACTGCTAAGAATATTTGAATGTATTCTTCATACAGGGATGGTGTTCGAAAGACTTGTAAATAAAGCTACCATAACCTATTTTGTTTGATTTTTTTTTTTTTTTTTTTTACCATTTGCTGATTTCCTTTGGGGTACTACAGTGAGGGGGCAGGAAGGGTGTTTAGAATGGCCTTTTTGATTTCTTGTGATATTTTGAAAGCATTGGGGGTTTTCTCCGAGGTAGTTCTGCCCAACGGTGTCAGGGGACCTCAGTTGAGAAAGCCAGGCCTCTCCCCCCCAACTCTTCTCTGCTTCCCTGTGTTAAGAAGCATCTGGTGGCTCTGTTTGTAACAGGAGTGTTGGCCTGTCTTCTGTTCTCACCCACCACGGATGTCCGATGTCGCAGCATGTATACAGGCGATATGGCACAAGGACAATAAAGACTGTGGAAACTTGAGTATCGGGTGCTGGTGTGACATTTCTCTCCTTGCTCACCTTTTACTGCCAAATGTCTAACCCCATTACCCCCCCCCACACACACACACATACACACACACACACCAAGAAAGGGGCAAGTTACCAGGCCCCTGAGAGGGTGGGGAGGTGACTTCAGGTTTAATTCCCCTAGAAGCCAGGTTTAGGGAGCCAAGGTGACTGGCCAGGGTCCTTAGGGGAAATGGGGTTCCAGGAATGGGGTATCTCAGGACTTGGAATATGGGTTTCTTTCTCTGACCCACCCAGCCCTGGGAGAAAACCTTGGGGCTTGAGGTAGCCAGTGACTCTGATCCCAGACTGGGCTCCCTCAACTCGGGACCAGCATGCCCGAGGTGGAAGTGCTCTGGGGGAGCCTTCAGCACGAGGGAGACCCATCTGGGTACAAAGAGAGAGCAGACTCTCAGGAGTCTCTGAGGGGCTTTCTCCCCAGCTCCCAGCTGATGCTGCCTTTTTCCTTTGGGGAAAGAAAGATGCCTGTTTCCTCTTTGTTTCCTGCCTTTGAACTTCTGCCTTAAATTTGGACATCACCCATAACCTTGAGGGGCAGGGCGGAAGACCAGGGCTTTTTGTTGCCACCCCACCCCCACCCCACCCCACCCCATCCCACCCCACCCTCTCCCTAGCCACCCAGGCAGAGGCAGAGCAGCACAGGGGATGAAAGTGGGAGAAGGGCCCCAGGCCCCAGACCCCGCTTTGTTTATTTGTTTGTGTGTTTGTCTAACTGGCGCGACTGGGAAAATCGAGCTCAAAGAGGAGTGGGACAGACCCCGGAGATGGATGTCTAGGTTGATAGACAGACACCGAGGTGAACAAGGCCTCTCCTGAGAGGCAGGGAGGGGGTGGGCAGGGAAGCCCAGGGTTTAAGGAAAGACTCCCTTTGGGATGGTTAAAGATTAACCAAAGTCTCGCAAGTTGCTCGAGAGAGTCTAGCCAGGAGGACTGTTCCCGAGCGGGCGGCGAGCGGGCGCGGGTTTGATTTCTGAGCCCTATAAAAGCCCATCCTCCGATGGCTGTGACAATGTGGTCGTAAACCCGTCCGGGGCCGGCCAATTTGCATATTTGGAATGCGCCGCTATAAACCCGGCTGGGGTTTTGCAGCAATTTCTTAGATGTAAAAGTGAGATCTCTTTAGCAGCGGGCTGGGCACATTCTCTCCTGTCTCAGCCTGGAGCCCGCTTCCCTCTCACGGCTCTGGTCGGAGCTCAGGCCGGGTGTAGGCGCCCAGCAGCCACGAGATGGCGCACTTCCGATCAATGTCAAAGCCGCCGGAGAGCCCGGAACCCCAGCGAGATTCTTGGCCTTTGTTCGCTTCTGATACTAAGAGCAGCGCGTTACATTATTTCACTTGTCCCGCTCCCTTTCATATCAAAAAAGGGGGGCTCACCTTCAAGAAGTGGTTGGTGTTGTAATTTAAAGCAAAGAGCCTTCTCTAGGCCTCGCAGGCGCCGCGGCGCGGAGAAGCCAGTTGTCCGTTGGCAGTGATTTCGGAAATGTGTCAAGGTAAGAGGCTACAAGTTTAGTAATTTCAACCTGGCTGGGGCAGGAATGAGGAGGTGGCCGATGTCTGAGCAGGGCTGGGGAAAGCGGCTAGGTTTGTGTGCTCCTGGGTGACGCTGTAGGTGGTCAGCCCATCTACCCGCCCCCCACCCCCAGTCTCTCCCTAAGGTTGGAAAGGGAAGGCCTAAGTGGAAAAGTAGAGGATTTTAGCTCCTTGGGCCACCTAAAAACCCAAGGCAATCTTTTGATTTTGTAAAAGTATTCAGAATTGGATGAGCCGGGGATGGGAGGCATCCAAGAGAAAGGGTCCCGGCTGTGCTGGGATAGGGGGTCGTGGTGGGGGCATAAAAAGGAGATGGAAGGACTGGGGAAAAAAGAAAAAACAGTTTCTACTCCAAACAATGAGGTGGACAGCACTGTGGTCGTTGGGGAGACAGACTTCGGGATGGTCGCTGGTTCCCAACTAGGTACGGTCTCTAGGTCTGCCTAGCAGCCTGGGAGAAACCTTTGTTCCAAAAAAGCCATTTCGGAAAAGTCGCGTTTGATTTTCCAGGCTTCCAGAGAAGTCTGTATTGCTTGTTGGGAATGTACCGCTATAAACCTGGCTGGAATTTTGCAGCAATTCCTTAGATGTAAAAATGAGATCCTCTGCATATTTTGCAAACAGGCAAAAATTGCATTGGGTAAATATCTATATATTTTTAAAAACTGGCACAGAGGATAAACTGTGATCGACTAATCCCTCCATTAGGATTGTCGTAAGGCAAGTTTTGAATAATCATTTCACTTATGTTTTGGAGGGCAAATTCCAATTCCCTCTTTCCCAACATTTAAATCTTTATTCCAATATGTTTTATTGGTTTCTGGAAATGGTTCTTTTTTCCCCACAAATATACAGTGCATAGGTGGGGGGACTGTAGTGAAAGTCGGCTCTGCCTGTGTGTGTGTACATACACACGTGTAAATTTGGTCCATCAGAGTCACTAGTCTTTGTTGAGCACAGACTCCCACACTCTGCCAGAATGAGGCACCCAAGCAGTGGCACCCACACGGTGCTCGCTGCACTCTGAGCTCTCCCCCAAGCCCCAGAACCACCTCGAGTTGCGCTGCAAAGCCAGAGGCAGTTTATTATGGACAAAACTAAGAATATTGCAATTTAGGGTGTGTGTGAAAAGGCTCCAACACTTCCCCCATCAGAAGAAAGAACCAGGTCAGTGGTTGGATTTAGAAAAAAAAAATGAAGTGGGCTGTTTAGGAGTAGATTGCACCTGATTGATTCAAAGCAACCACATCAAATATCCCTGGAAATATTACTGTTCTTAAAGATGATTGGGCAAAGAATGTCATTTACAAAAAATATTCTGACTCTACAGTAAACACAGTATTGGAGCCCCCCCGGAATTTTTGTTAAAGCGGATATGGAAGGAGCGGCCAAAGCTTGACTCGGTAGCCGGTCTGAGCCCCTGAAACACTGAGAGCCAGAGTGATCTTCAGATGCTGTTTGCTGCCCACCTCAATCTCAGTGACTAGTATTTTTTTTAAGATGTTTTTTGGTAATAACAGTTTGTTTTTGTTGAATGCAATGGCCTTCTCAGGAGGAGGAATCTGCTGTCTGGTGAACTGCATTGTAATCCTTGCTAAAGGGTTTATTCCACCCGCCTGGTACTCATTTGGGCTCAACAGCCATGGGGCGGGGGGCAGGGGGGATATTATTACCCAGGTAGAGATAGAAAATATTTACTCTTAAATAAAACGTGGGCCCTGCTGGGGTTCACATAAACCTACACAGGCCTGGTTAAAGCAAGCAGTAGCAGAGTTTTAGGTCAAAGGCATCCAGAAGGCAAGAGAGATTCGGCAGCTGGGCAGGAGGTCGAAAGGGATAGAGGTTGAGAAGGCAAATGTACGAGAGGGAGAGAGTGTGTCTAGAAGCCCACTCTTGCTGCAATTGAATTGCTTTTCTTAATCTCTGGAGGGGGGTGGAGGGGACCTTGGGAAAGCCGAGGCGTTCGATAAATGGAATATTCTATTGAGTGAGCTAACACCTCACCTCGGTGTTACAGACTGGGCAGTGTGGAGCCTTGGGAGCGGTCAGGGATGCTGAGAGCTCTGAGACCGACTGAGAGGGTTTCACTTGAGCTTCTGCTATGTTGATACCTTCTGGTTCCAACCAGGGGCAACAAGCCAGTGTGCGTCCCAGGTGTACCTGCAGCCTCTCCGTTTGTGCTCTCAGTGCAGCAAGCCCAGGTGGGGGGTTGGGCAGCGGTCCTGGGCCAGAGAGGGCCCCCACATGAGTTTACACACGCCTTTTTTTTTTAAGTACAAAACAGCACAAATGCAACATCTCAACTGGTTTCTTACGAGGAGGGGGTGGAAGGGATGATGCTAGAGAAAAAGCATCCAGCTCTCCCCAAAGGTCGGTGAAGACCCAAGCGCCAAAGCCATGATGTTCTGGGCGCTGGCAGCCGTGAGCCTTCTTATAGCAGATGCAGTACCAAGCTCACTCCTGTAACTTAGATTGGCACGTGCATGCTCTTGGATCCCATCCAGCCTAGAAGCCCATTTGGCCACCCTTACAGGGCCCTGATCAGACCGGGCCTGTGTTGCCTGGAGTGGGGGCACCCGGCTTGTCTTACCAAACTGATGGGGCGCTGAATTCCAGGAGACTCCTGAAACATTCTGCAGGGCCTTCTGGGCTTTGAGGAGTCTGTGAACTTCTTGGAAATGTTAGGTCAAAGTGTGGGAATGCACAGATGTGCATTTTTCACAGGTCAAGAGGCAGAGCTTGGCCTTAGATTTTGCAAAGGGGCCTTAACATCCAAAGAAGTTAAGAAAGACAGGTTTAGATCATAATGTTTCACTTTATTTTCTTCGCCTCCACCATCTCAAGCACACTGTCCTGTGGTCACTGGCCCTTTCAACTTGTGGCCTGGGCAGTTACTTTCGGCATTTAGTCTGGAGAGACACCAAGTCCTGGCCCACTGGCCTGCTGAGGCTCATGTTCTCTGCAAGAAAACTTCTCTTGTTCTTGTGACCTACTTCCCACTTGGCAGAGCTCTTCTGAGAGGTACGAACAGTGTGGAGAGGGAAAGCCCCCCTTCTCAGGTGGTCCTGGGCACCGTGGCCTTTCTCATCAGCGCCGGTGAGCATAGTGAGTCCCATCCTCCTGGCAGCGCAAACCGGGTAAGGACCAGGCCCATGCAGGGAGGGGTCCTAGGCTGAAGTGCTCTGAAACTTTTCCGTGCATAAGTTCAGGCCAGGTAGGAATTTGCCTTGGCCTTGAGCGTAAGAGCGACGTGGAGAGCGAAGGGCCATTTCTAATCTTGTGCAAATTCCTGACTCGCTTCGGCTGCCCCAAAGCTGCAGCCTCATGACCCTGTCGGATTACAGAGAACTGGCTTTCTCTCGCCATCTCGCTTTCCTCTCCCTCTCTTCTCCTCTCCTCCTCTTCCTTTCTTTCATTATTCCCCTTCTCCCCACCCCAGATGCCCGCCTGGTCCGCAGAGCTGGTAACCTCGCTCGGGCAGCAGAAGTGGAAGTGGCTGGGGTGCAGCGCAGGTATTGGCTCGGCCTCCTCGGCTTCTTGCTTTGAGCGGCTGGAGCCGGCAGAGACCGCAACTGCTTGCGTCTCAGCAGCCAGCTCCCGGCTTCTGTCGCCCGCTCTCCCCGTGCACTCTCCCTGCGTTCTCTCAGGCTTTGCTTCCTCCTCCGACTTGGATCGGTTAATACTGGGAGAAAGAAGACCGGATTCTGGCAAATATCTCGGGATGCAAGGGCCTTTCCCCTCCGAGCAGAAGCCTGAGCGGTTGGCTGTCTAGGATCCCCTGGTGCAGCGCCCCAGTCAAGGCCTCTGCAGGGGCTAGAGCTGGTGGGGCGGGCAGGCCTGGGGCACCCTGGAGCGCTGTAGCCCGCAGGCCAGGGGCAAGGCCGCGACCTCCTGGGCTCCACTGAATCCGGCCGGAAAAGGTCGAATTTCCTGAGACGCATTTGAGGCCCACACTTGGGGGCTAGCGCCTTAGGCCGGCCATTTCCAGTTGACTTAGAACGCGTCGCTGTCGCCGTGGACTAAGGAAACCCTGGGCTCTGAAGGTTCCTATAACTGGGCCAGGAGCCCAGCCCGGCCTCGCAGGGAGAGGATTTCCTCACGACGGGCCTCGTTAAAATGCGCAAAACCGCGGGAGTGAGGGCTGCCCCAGCTCCGGGTTTGGAGGGGAGGAGGGAAGAGGGGTGGGGACAGAGAGGCAGGAGTGTGGCGACCCTGGTTCTTGTTGTGGCCTCCAGGAGCGTGCAGGTGCCCAGGCTAAAGGGAGAAAGAACTCCCAGGAGACTGTGTCAGAGGTGTTCGTGAGCCACCCTTCCTCCGGGGGTCTCCCTTCAGGTCTTCACCTCGGGGCAAGCCAACGACTCCGAAGACCAATATCCCTTTCACTTCCCTGGAAGGGCTTGGAGCGTGGAGCCTGGCGGGAGGATGGGCCGTGGGGCGCCTGGACCTGTCGCTGGCCTCAGAGTAGGGGCGGGGAGCCTTGCAGGCTGCCAGTTGCCTCCATAACCCCCATTCACACCAGCGCCCAAACGGCCTCCGACGGGCAGGCCTGGTAAGCACACCAGAGGCCAAGGTCCTAACTAGATCGACAGACTGGCAGGCGAGAGTATAGGGGCGGACAGGACAGGGCATTGCATGGGGCGGGGGGGGGGAGTGTCGTGTGGGATGCGAAAAAGAGGTAGCAATTGTCAGCTTCCAATTCACTCTGGATTTCCAACGGCCCTGATGGCTGGAGGACCAGGTCCGCCGCTTTCGGGAGACAGACTGCTCCAGAACTCAATGGAAAGAGCTTGAGGCCTTGAGAGGACCCCTTAGTGTTTGGAGTGTACGGAGGGATAGTGGCAGATTCCAACATAAGGCAGGGAGCACCCAAGGCGGGCCTGGGTGCACACCATAAACACCCCACTTGTTAATAGCACGGGGCCCAGAGGGCCCTTCAGACAGACCCCGAAAGACGGTTCTCGTCTGGGCAGGGACTAGGCGAGCCCACGGGCCAGGTCCCCGGTCTCCAGCCACACTGGGGCAGCCCCCACAGTTCCTGGCCTTTGGGCTGATTATCGGGTGTGCGTCTCGAGGGCCATCAATACAGATTACTTATTTATATCAATCGCGGGCTCGGAGGGCGCCCTCCGAGAGCTGCCCCACGCCTACGAAATCAAACTGGGAGTGGTCGTGAGAAACTCTGGCTCAGGATTGGCTGCAGGCGCCCGCCGCGATGCGGGGGGATTGCTAATCGTATTCAGCATGTTTTGCACAAGAAATGTCAGCCAGAAAGGGCTATCTGCTCCCTTCGCCAAATTATCCCACAACAATGTCATGCTCCGAGAGCCCCGCCGCGAACTCCTTTTTGGTCGACTCGCTCATCAGCTCCGGCAGAGTCGAGGCTGGAGGCGGTGGCGGCGGCGGCGCGGGGGGCGGCGGCGGCTACTTCGCCCACGGCGGGGTCTACCTGCCGCCGGCCGCCGACCTGCCCTACGGGCTGCCGAGCTGCGGGCTGTTCCCGGCTCTGGGAGGCAAGCGTAATGAGGCGGCCTCCCCGGGCGGCAGCGGCGGAGGCGGAGGCGGCGGCGGCGGGGCCCTGGGTCCGGGGGCGCACAACTACGCGCCCGCGCCTATAGACCTATGGCTGGATGCGCCCCGGTCCTGCCGGATGGAGCCGCCGGAGGGGCCGCCGCCACCGCAGCAACCCCAGCAACAGCCGCCACCGCCCCCGCCGCAGCCACCCCAACCCCCGCCGCAAGCCACTTCGTGCTCTTTCGCGCAGAACATCAAAGAGGAGAGCTCCTACTGCCTCTACGACTCGGCGGACAAATGCCCCAAAGGCTCGGCCGCCGCCGACCTGACCCCCTTCCCGAGGGGCCCGCCGCCCGACGGTTGCGCCCTGGGCACCTCCAGCGGGGTGCCCGTGCCCGGCTACTTCCGCCTCTCCCAGGCCTATGGCACGGCCAAGGGCTACGGCGGCGGCGGCGGCGGCGGGGCGCAGCATCTCGGCGCCGGCCCGTTCCCCTCTCAGCCCCCTGGGCGCGGCTTCGACCCGCCACCGGTGCTCGCCTCCGGCTCGGCGGATGCAGCCCGGAAGGAGCGAGCCCTCGATTCGCCGCCGCCCCCCGCGCTGACTTGCGGTGGCGGCGGCGGGGGCTCGCAGGGCGACGAGGAGGCGCACGCGTCGTCCTCGGCCGCCGAGGAGCTCTCCCCGGCCCCTTCCGAGAGCAGCAAAGCCTCGCCCGAGAAGGACTCCCGGGGTAAGCAGGGTGCGCTCAAGGGCCGCAGTCCGGCGGGCAGACAGGCAGGCCGGCCCAGAGAAGGGAAAGAGCAGAGAACCGGGAGTCCGCGCAGCAGCCGGCCGGCCTTGGCCCGAGCCGCCGGCAGGCTGACCTTGTGAACTTGCTTTTTAATATTTGGGCGTGGGGACGTAGTAAAAATTCATGTCCAGTTCAGCGCCCTACACCGAGACGTCCTCCGTCCGCACTGGCCTCGGCTCACCCCGACTAGGGGCGAGGACCCGGGCGAGCAGCCCCCCTCGTGTGCATGTCCTTCTCCGTGGGCCGGAGCACCCTCAGCCGTGGTCTGGGCCCGGTCTCCGAGGCGCGGCCCACACGGGGGGAGGGGAGGGAGGGAAAGTGGCTCGCCCGCAGATAGTGTGGATGTTTGTAAGGCATCCAAAATAAGCAGCCGCCAGCACCAATAAATAAGCCCATTAACCGGCGAAGTTCGAGTTTACGATCCCCCATGCTTTTTTTCAAAGTTGCTGGAGGGGCGGGAATCCTCGTTGCGGGTAGAAGAAAAGGCATATCCGGCCCGGACGCCGGGGCCCTGAGCTGAGATCCTAGAGGGACCTTTCAGCTTCCTCTGGAGCCCAGAATCGCCGGGACTGCGCGTCTGGGGCTCACTCACGAAGAGACCCGACAGCGTCAGGCCCTTGACCCCGAGTCAGTTTTTTTTGTGCCTTCCCCGTGTCCCAGTGATGTCCTGCTCCCTTCTCTCATCCGGCCTTGGTCAATGAAGGGGCTGGAGTGAGACACAGCCATGCTTCCCACTCTCGTTCCGAGTAAGCAGGCGGCCCCCAGCCTGGGGGTGCTGCGGGAAATGCTTGTCTTCCTTGGGGCGAGAAGCAAAGAAAAAGTAAGGCGTTAAGTTCAAGGTATAGAGGCCGGCCTTCTGGGGCCTTTTATTCTGCAAGCACCTGGCAGCTTCGTGCTAAGACAGGTGTTTGGGGAAAAGCAGAGGAAAACGTAAATTGAGAGGGTAGATGTAGTGGACAGTCCACTGGATTTTGCACAAGCCTTTTGGAGGAACCTGCTTCCTGGACAAGCAAGATAAGGGGGGACATACGTCTGTGGATGACTTAGGGCTTGCCGCTTGTGTCAGGGGCGGCCCCCACTCCCCTCTGCAGTCGGCCCACATAGCCTGGATTTAACCTTCCCCTCCTTATTCCCTTAAATGCTAGGCAATACCAAAGGCGAAAACGCAGCCAACTGGCTCACTGCAAAGAGCGGCCGGAAGAAGCGTTGCCCCTACACGAAGCACCAGACGCTGGAGCTGGAGAAGGAGTTTCTGTTCAACATGTACCTCACTCGAGAGCGGCGCCTGGAGATCAGCCGCAGCGTCCACCTCACGGACAGACAAGTGAAAATCTGGTTTCAGAACCGCAGGATGAAACTGAAGAAAATGAACCGAGAAAACCGGATCCGGGAGCTCACGGCCAACTTTAATTTTTCCTGATGAAGCTCCAGGCAACGCCGTGTTTTTGTTTTTGTTTTCCGCTTCCAGAGAGCCGTCCTCCTCCCTGTCGTCGGCCTCTGCCCAGGAACTCGCACCTGTGCGGGAGCCCCATCCCTCCCTCCCACCTCGCCACCTCGCTGGCCACGTCTGTGCAGGGCTGGTTTGTTCTGGCTTTTTGTCTCTTAGTCTGTTTGCTAGGTGCTGGTTTACTTGTTGTTTTCTGGGGGAAAAAGCCATATTGCTCTAAAATTCTATATAGATGAATATTGTCCTGAGTGTCAAAGGGTGAACTGGGATGGTTTGTTGTCTCAGTGTTCCACTGCTCGAAATGGCCCCTGGCCTCCTGGTGGAGCTGGTTTCCTGTGGGGGGTTTGGGGGGGGGGCCCAGGAAACCTAGCCGGGAGGCCCGGGTCCTCTTGTAGGCGCTGAGGTGTCTGGCCTGAGGTCGATGGTGCAAGGAGCCGCCACAGGGCTGGCCAGCCTGGAGTGCTGGGCTGTGTTTAATCAGGGGTACAGGCCCCTAGGTTTCTTCCTTCCTTCCTTCCTTCCTTCCTTCCTTCCTTCCTTCCTTCCTTCCTTCCCTCCCTCCCTCCCTCCTTCCTTCCTTCCTTCCTTCCTTCCTTCCTTCCTTCCTTCCTTCCTTCCTTCCTTCCTTTCTTTCATCTTCCTTCCTTCCTTGGCAAAGAAGAAGGGCTTATGGGCATACAGGTTGGCAAAAGTGCTTAACTTTGGCTGATTGGAAAATTGAGAGGGTCAGAAAGATAAACTTTTTCCTTTCTTTGTAAGATATCCCAGCTTTAAAAGAAAGAAAAAAAAAAAGAGAGAATGACCATGACAGGCAAACCCCTGTTCCAGTTTGTATAAGCTCTGGCATTGTGGACATAAATTATTTCCCTTCTCTCTGAATTTCCATATCCTCTGGAAAACAGTAGACAAATAATCTGATGTAGTTTAGTTTATAAATGTGGATTTAGTAGATTTTTGTCATAAAATAATTGTTGCCACTGGTAACACAACAAGCACATCACAATTCTCCCTGTCTTGAGGAGGGTTCCTCCCAACCCCCCCCCACACACTCTTTTCTTCTTTTCTTTCCAAAATTCGTAGAAGCCGAGGAGGGCTGGGGCAAGCGGAATAGATTAGAGAAGGGAGACATTTCTTTGGTTTCCTTTATACTGTGAAGTTACATGCATAAAAGGGTCAAACCTGTAGGTGCAGAAAAAGAAAAAAAACTATAAATGCAAATCTGTATAAATGTCTATTATTATGAAAAAATGCCAATCTTGTTTTATGCAAATGCATTCTATCGTTATTATAAATGTTAGTTCTAGCTCTATTCTAATCTTAAATCAGAATAAATTAATATTGTAATGCTGCTGTGCGTGGAAAAAAAAGACGATGTTTATGTTCTTATAGAAGAATAAAAGCTGTGGAATGAAGAAGCTTTTTAATTTTACCTCTTTTTTTTTTTTTTGGACTTCTTATCTTCACCTTCCACTTTATCCCGTCCACCCCTTTTACAACAGGACGACGAGCCCGCTCCCCCTGCAATTACTCGAGGCATCTATTTAAATATTACCTAGACAGTCGTAATTTGTCTGGGCCATATAGCCCTGGTGCCGTAGGGTTTGTCGGCTTTTGTTCAGTTTTATGACTTGCTAGTATATCTGGGTTGCGGCTGTCTTGGGCCGGTGGTTTCAGTTGCGAGAGGAGCTTCATAGAGGAAGCCAAACAGGATTTCTTTCGGGAGCCCCAGGGCGACTGGTTATTTTGTGGGTCCCCTGGTCCTCGATGACCCCCCAATCTAGGAATCCAGGGAGCAGGCTGAGGCCCACGACGCCTCGCGAGCGCCCGCGGTTACGTAGAGAGAGACCCCGCCGCCTGGACGCCCCCCTCCCCCAGCACAGCCTCCCCCACCTGGTCGCCCTCCTCGGGGCCACGCGTTTCCTGCTCGCGGGAGGTGGGGGGGGGCGATGGTAGGGGGAGGGGGCGCGGGAGCGCGCGCCCCGGCTGGCTGCCTGCGGGGAGGGAGAGAGGGGGAGAGCGAGCGGCGGGGAGCGAGCGCGGGAGGCCGAGACCAGACCGGGAGCCGAGCTCCGGGCTGTCCCCGGCGCTTCCGAGTCGCCCGGGGCTGCCGCCGCGCGGCGTCGGCTCGCTGAGCTGTACGCTTTGGGGAACCAGCAGAACACGGCTCGTCTCGCCTTCTCTCTTCCTCTCTCTCCTTTCCTTTCCTTCCCTCCCTCCCTCTCCCAGGTTTACCTTTCAGGGGCCGGTGGCTTCTCTGTCCGGGCTGCCCTCGCGTCAGCCAGGGTGGCGCGGTGGCAGCGCGGGCGCGGACTGGCGAGGGGCCGCTCCGGGCACGGTCTCTGGGTCCTCCTCCTCCGGCGGCGGCGGCAGGGACGGCGGCGGCGGCAGCGGGCAAGGCAGCCCCGCGCGGGCAGCACCAGAACTGGTCGGTGATTTAGGTAGTTTCCTGTTGTTGGGATCCACCTTTCTCTCGACAGCACGATACTGCCTTCATTACTTCAGTTGAAATCGTCTCCAGGTACCTGTGTGCGCGGGGGCAGGGCCGGGCGGGGCGTCCAGGCTCCGGTCGTGCCAGACCTGCGGTGGCGACCTCGGCCTTTCTCACGTAGGAGCCTCGTCCCTACCTCCTTCTCAGCGTTCTGCCAGGCTGCTGGCCTCACCCTCTTCCCCACCTGGCCCCAAGCAGGTACAGTCAGGTTAGCTGCGCCTTAGTGGACGCCGGGGGGCGTGGTAGGAATTCTGGGCCCCGGGCCATTCAAGGTCAGGGGCGCACACTTCCATCCTGGGCCTCCCCCGCTCCTGGCCTGTGCTAGCCAGGACCGCGCGATCCTCCTGCAAAGCTAGGACCGTGTCAGCCCCAGTCCAGGGTAGGACGTAAGGAAAGATCCTTTTGCCAGTGGAGACTCGGGCCAGACTAGAGCAGACGGGGCAGACGGGCTGGGATCCTGGCCTTGTCGCTTACCCTTCTTCTCTCTTGCAAGCTGCTTTCTGCTCTCAGGAGTTGCCTCCGACTCTTTTCTTCTTACTTCCTTCCTTCCTTCCCCTTTTTTACTCTACTTTCTTTTATTTATATCTTCCTTCTTCCTTTCCTTCCCTTTTCTTTATTTTTCTTTTATGTTCGGGTTCTCTGTCTTTTTTTTTTTTTTTTCTCTCTCTCTCTCCTTATCTCCATCTCCTCTTGTCCTCAGCTCGTCCTCCTGCAGGGAGCCCAGGGCTGGCCCAGGGAGCTCGGGGTAGGAGGTGTCTTATTTTTCTCTGTGGGTTCAAGTAGAGGTGTATTCTGCCTAGGAAGGGCTCACCTGGGGCGTCTGTCGAGGACTGTGGATCCGGGCCTGGTGTGCCTCCGCGCAGACAAGGCCTCGGTTACGATCACGACCGGATGGCGGCGGCTTTGCGTTCCGTCAGCAACGGCAGCCTAGAAGATCAGATTAGGGGGATTCACGGAGTTTTGGGGTGCCCACAGCGAGGGCAGGAAGCCCCTCGCCAGCCTCACTGGGGGCCTGAGGCTGGGAACTGGGCTGAGGCTCAGCCAGGCTCAGTGGAGTCTGGCCACAGCCACGGAGGGGACTCGGGGGAAGCTTCCCTGGCTCTGCAGGCCTTGCGGGTCTCAGCTCCGGCTTTAACCGCGATAAGGTAGCCCCACTAGGGCAAAGACTGGCTGCTTGGTTGTCAGTAGCTTCTCTCAGGTTCAGAGTATGTTAGACATGGCACCTTGTGAGGACCACTGCTGGAGAAGGGGACCCTTCCAACACCAGGCTTTCGAATAATAGAAAAAAAGTAATCCTAAATTCCAGAACCATTGGGATGCAGACTGGAGTGGGTTCTTGTTCCAAGTTGTATGTCGTCCACCACGGGAAGCCAGTCGGGCTTCTCTGGTTATTACTGGGAACTGAAAGCTGCCTCCCCAGACACACGGGCACCCGCGAGGCTTCCGGGCTGTTTCCACTGGGCAGCGCTGCCTGTCCCAGCGCTGCTCTGGGCACCGGAAATGTTTTCACCCCTCAGTCCCTGGTTCTGTCATCTGAAAGGCTCAGGCAAGTCACCCTCCACTCCTCTCTAGCATATCCAGGACCCGAGTGTTGGATTTGTTTTTAGAGGCCATGGTTTTAGAACTCTGAGGCAAAGAGAAACAGTTTGCAGTCCTACCCATTTATTATTTCTTTATGCGCACACAATCCCTTTTACTTCCAGCATAAAACACACACGAAGCCAGGCTCTGTGGGGGTCTGAACTATCTCCTCACAAACCTCTGGGCTGTGTGTGTGGGGGGGGTGATTTTGGTTTGGTGACCCCCACCCCCACATATGCACACTTCTAGACCCCAGTAGGGGCTACTTAACACTCAAACCCTGCTAAATACTTGGTAGTAGCTGCCCTATTTGGGGAGGCTAAGGGTATTTACAGGAAGCCTTTTTATTTTTTAAAAATACTATAGATAATTCATATCTTATCTAGGTGCAAAAAAAAAAAAGAAAGAAAGAAAGGAGAGAAGAAAGGAAGAAAGGAAAGGAAAAGGCAGCCAGGCATGTCCAGCGTTCACAGACAATTACAATTAGGAGTGAAGGTTTCCTCCCCGATTAATTTTCCTTAATGAAAATCTCAGAGGCCTAGCAAACTGCCTGATGTTTGGGACACTTTGGCTGAGGAGGAGGTGGGGATAACGCAAAGGAATGTACAGGGAAAGGAAAAATATTGGCGGGGGAGGGGACTGAGGTGGCCGGGACCGGCCACGTCGGAGTTCATTGTGTCGGCCACTTCCCTCTTCCAGCGCCGGCCGAGAAAGGGGCCCCCGGTGGCTCTCCGCTGGCTTCTCAGCCTTGCTGGGAGAGCCTGGCATTTGAGGGTCACCACGCAGGATAGGGACGTGTTAGGGTTTGCGTGGGGAAGTGGTAACTGGGACTGGGAGGAGGGTGAAGGCAGAAAAGGAGATGGAAGCACCGGAGGCCGCCCGCCCTCGCCGCCAGGGAAGTGGGCTAATGAAAAACACACTCTTGCAGGCATAGTGTTCGCACGTGAATTTAATTACCCCATTTTTAGGAGTTGCTGCTTTCCGTTTGTATTTGGGGTGGTTTTTTTTTTTTTTCTTCTTCTTCCAATTAACAGAGTGGCCTAGACCTTTCAATTTATCACTGAAAAACTCTTAAGCGGTGAGAAACACCCTCCTCAATTTGGCCAAGCTGAGGAATGGGATTAAAGTCAATACCCTATGCCCCTCCCAGTTTTAATTTCTGGCCCTGGACTTGAGCAGCAGCCCCCTTAGCCGGGCCTTGTGACAGCCCGGGCTGCGTGGGTAACCGAAGCGGACCCTCCAGGGGCAGTGGCCAGGAAGGAGGGAGACCTGACGGATTCATACTAGGCCCAGAAGCCAGCCGCTCCGGGCTGGGCTCCGAGCTACTGAGCGGACGAGTCCCTTAGGTCGAATTCTCCTTTTATTGATGCTGCTTCGTGCTTTTTGTTTTGGGGTTTTGGGTTTGTTTGTGTTGTGTGTGTGTGTGTGTGTGTGTGTGTGTGTGTGTGTGTGTGTGTGTGTGTGAACTGATTCTGGGAGCGCAACACGGCTAGCAGAGCTCGGAATCAGGGCCTCGGAGGTCCGAGCGCAGGGCTGGGGCGCCTGCCGCGTCCACTGGGGGGACTGTGATCCCCGCCGGCGCTGAGCAGGGCGCGCTGGGCGTGCGCGTGCGAGATCCCCCCACACCCCTATCCCTCACTGCCAGGGAAGGCCCAGCAGTCCCGGCGGACACTGGTTTGGGCAATTTCTTGGGCGGAAGGCGCGACACAGCCAGGCCCCTAACCCCTTTGCTCTGGGCTGGCCGGCCGCTCCTCGGTGGGGAGCTCGCTGGAGGCACAGCGGTCATGCGGGTCCCGTCCCGGCACCCGGCGGTCCGATCCAGCAGGGCAGAGTCCGGGGGCCCGCAGCAGGCTGCGTCCTCTGGGCGGCCCGTCCTTTCCCAGCGCGCTCCGGCAGGGGCGGTGGTGGCTCAGTCTGGGACGCCTACTGCGTTGAATTTGACTTTTCGTGGCCAGCATGGGGTAAACTCGTCTCTCCGGGGACTGCGGGGATTATTTACAGGGAGCCCGCCAACCAAACACAACAGTCTAATTTAACCTTTCCAGGTCCTCGTAAATTTTTACAGCTGGGAGCCACGGCGAGGTAAACGAATCTGTTGGTCGTTCCCAACTTCCCACCAGCCTGTGTGGCTTCTGAAACAATAACTCCTTATGAAATATAAATATAGATTTAAATACAGTAGAGCGAGAATGCGACTTGGCTGCTTTTTTATGGCTTCAATTATTGTCTAATTTTATGTGAGGGGCTCCGCTGGCCGCACTCGCACGCGGGGCCCGCGCCTTGCTGATGGCGTGATTAATTGTGATATAAAATAGTCCGCTTCAGAAGTGTGCGTCTGGTGGCGGCGGTGGGAGGGGAGGGAGTCCAGAGGCAAGGCCAGATTTGATCTTTTAATCTTCGTTGGCCACAATTAAAACAAACCTGATCGTTGAGCGCCGCGATCCCTTTGCATAAAAACATATGGCTTTTGCTATAAAAATTATGACTGCAAAACACCGGGCCATTAATAGCGTGCGGAGTGATTTACGCGTTATTGTTCTGCTGGGCGGACACGTGACGCGCGCGGCCAATGGGGGAGCGGGCGCCGGCAACTTATTAGGTGACTGTACTTCCCTCCCCGGTGCCACCAAGTTGTTACATGAAATCTGCAGTTTCATAATTTCCGCGGGTCGGGCCTGCCGGCCGGGCGCAGGGCGCAGCGATGGCCACCACGGGGGCCCTGGGCAACTACTATGTGGACTCATTCCTGCTGGGCGCAGATGCCTCGGACGAGCTCGGCGCGGGCCGCTACGCTGCAGGAGCGCTGGGTCAGCCCCCCAGGCAGCCGGCGGCACTGGCCGAGCACCCAGACTTCAGCCCCTGCAGCTTCCAGTCCAAGGCCGCGGTGTTCGGAGCCTCGTGGAACCCGGTGCACGCGGCAGGCGCCAGCGCGGTGCCAGCGGCGGTGTACCACCACCACCACCACCACCACCACCCCTATGTGCACCCCCAGGCGCCCGTGGCGGCGGCAGCTCCGGACGGCAGGTACATGCGCTCCTGGCTGGAGCCCACGCCGGGCGCGCTCTCCTTCACGGGCTTGCCCTCCAGCCGGCCTTACGGCATTAAACCTGAACCGCTGTCGGCCAGAAGGGGTGACTGTCCCACGCTTGACACTCACACTCTGTCCCTGACTGACTATGCTTGTGGTTCTCCTCCAGTTGATAGAGAAAAACAGCCCAGTGAAGGTGCCTTCTCCGAAAACAATGCTGAGAATGAGAGCAGCGGAGACAAGCCCCCCATCGATCCCAGTAAGTGTCTCCTTCCTCTGAACCAGCCGCCACCTCCACGCCGGCCACCCGGATCTGCCTGCACTCCAGCTTTCTCCCAAGGCTGCCTACGCCCGCATGGGGAGCCTCCTGAAAAGTCTTGGAGCCAGAAGTTGCTATTGGGGACCCCTCGATCAGGGTCCCAAGTCCACAGAGCTGTGAAGAGCGGCCGGCTGGCCGAGCTCATGGGGAGGGGAGGCGGCAACCGAGAGAGGGGGCGGGGCGGGCACTGCAGGCCGAGCCAAGACCAGCCACCCCCTCTCCCTGGCTCCCGGAGACCTGGACGGAGATACTTTGGGCCGTTCTTAGAAAGCAGCGTCTCAGAGAGTCCTTTGTGAGACTAGATTGTCCCAGAGCGAGAGCAGCGACTGCAGGCAGGGCGCTGGGAAAGACGGCCGATTCCCTCCACTTCTTGCCTTCGGCCAGTGGCGGTGTAAATCCTGCCCAAGATGAGGCTGCAAGGGGCCAGGCCACGCGGGTCCTCACACCAGATTATTCTAATAAACTGAAGAGGCGAACAAGGGCCTGCCCCGCTCCCACGGCCTTCCAGGGATGTCAGAGTGTGAGGAGAGGAGAAAGAAAGGTGAGGAAGGGAAGACACGGAGGAGTTACTGAGAGGGAGAAAAGAATATTAATCTTGCTACTCGAACGCAGGGCAGCAGTGGTTTCCCCCTGCCTGGCCGAAAGGAGATCTGTTTTCAAATTTCACTCATCACACGATGTGGGGAGAGTGGGAGGGGAGAGAAAAGGACCGGAGGACAGAGGAGGAGAAAGGAGGGCCTTGGTGGGGGAGGGGAGCAGAGGTTTTACTGTGTGCAATTGTAAGTGACCGTCCCAGCGTCTGTCTGCCAGGGGTCCATTGTGTCCGAGGCTCTGCCGCCCTCCCTAACCAATTCAGCAGCGTCCTGCACTTTAGCCGAAGACCCCAGGAGGTTCCCCAGCTCCCAGCGGAGAGGGGGTGCTTCTCCTTCTAAATCCCCTTTTTCTCCCCGCTCCCTCCCCCCTCAGGCAACCCGGCTGCCAACTGGCTCCATGCGCGCTCCACTCGGAAGAAGCGTTGCCCCTACACCAAACATCAGACGCTGGAACTGGAGAAAGAGTTTCTGTTCAACATGTACCTCACCAGGGACCGCAGGTACGAGGTGGCTCGGCTGCTCAACCTCACGGAAAGGCAGGTTAAGATCTGGTTCCAGAACCGCAGAATGAAAATGAAGAAAATCAATAAGGACCGAGCAAAAGATGAGTGATGCCACTTGTATTCATTTAGGAACGAGACGGAGCTAGAGAGAAAGAGAAAGGACTGCCCTTATTCTGCTCCCACCCCCATACCACCCAGGCCTCCAGCACTCGGTACAACGCAGCGCTAAACCCCAGGCCTCATCTCCCCCTGGCAAACCCTTCTCAGGCTGGCTCCTTGGCCTGCCGCTTTTGTGGAGGAGGTATTGTAAGCTTTCCATTTTCTCTTAAGACAAGAAGAAGAAGAAGAAGCAGAAGAAGAAGAAGAAAAAGGGGAAGGCGGCATTAGCGTTGATGGCAGCGTATGCTCTCTTGTATATATTTTGTAAAATCTACCTGTTCCTGACTTAAAAACAAACAAAAACTACCTTTTTTTTATAATGCACAACTGTCGACTGTGGGCTGTATAGTTTTTAGACTGTGTAGTTAATTTAACTTTCTCTTTGTGTGGCAGCGCGATCTGCCCAGAGACCTACTTGAACACTGTCTTATCCTGGTGATTATGTTTTGTGACTCCGACTTCTGGGCCAGGTGATGGGCCCTTTGTGGTTGTGATTGCTAGAATTCGATTTGAACTCAGGTTGTTTACGAGGGGGAGAGTTGCATAGCGTATAGCTCTGTTGTGGAATATGTCTTTTGTATAACTAGGCTGTTAACCTTGGATTGTAAATTAGCTGTATGGATTTCCCAGTGAAATTAAAAAAAATTTTTTTAAGAAAGAATGAGTTCTCCGAGGTACATAGATTCATGGTTCTCTCCACTTTGGAAATTTTGGCATTTTTTTTCTCTCTACATAGTCTATAGACCTGTCTTGTACATTGTACATATAATCCTCATATTTTTAAAAGCTCTCAGACCAGCTTGAAGATTGTTTTTACACCAGACAAACAGGGAGGAAATTCAGAGCTATACATATGTGCAGAAGGTTACTACCTATGGTTTACGTTTAATTTTAACGGGGGGAAAATGATATTGTAATGGAGTTAATTTTATTGATAATAAATTATACACCATGAAACCACCACTGGGCTACTGTAGATTTGTATTCTTGATAAATCTGGGGTTTCATTGGGCTGAACACACACTGTATATTTTGCAATAGTTACTTACCTCAAGGCCTACTGACCAAATTGTTGTGTTGAGATATTTAACTTTTTGCCAAATAAAATATATTGATTCTATTTTATTTTATTTTATTTTATTTTATTTTATTTTATTTTATTTTATTTTATTTTATTTTATTTTTTTATTTTTTGCGGGTCGGCTCTTTTCACCTTCTCCTGGGGCAGGGGAGCTTTAATAGCCTCTGGGCGGAGCCAGGTTGGGATGGAAAAGGACAGAACCTCGAATTTGCTCTTGGGGCTTCGGGGAGCTGCAACCTACTGCAGGCAGCCTCAGGCTGGCCTCAGGGCTCCCCACCGGGCCGGCTGTCTGGAGGCACCGGCAGTGGAGGAAGGCTGGGGGACATGGGGCGGAGAGGCCGGGCTCATCACTTTGTGTCCATTTGCCAGAGGCCCCTGGAGACCTCTGAGGAGCTGGGCTGGCGTCCCGGGTATCACTGGCCTGTAGCAATGAAAGGCTATTCTTTCATCTTGGCGCCCCAAGAAATTGCCCAAACCCGTGTCCACCGGGACTGCTGGGCCTTCCCTGGCAGTGGGGGATAGGGGTGTGGGGGGCAGAGGGACCATGAGCTGAGGGCCTGCCTCCTAGACAACCTCCGAGGAGGGAAACAGGAGCTGGATTGCCCCAGCGTGGCTGTGGGGACACACTTTGGGGAACTCTCAGGGGACCAAGGGCCTGCACCCCCACACCCCCACCTCCTGCCAGGCTGGCCCAGGGGGATTCTGGGCCTTGCTCGAAGAGCCCCTCCCCGAGCGCAAGTCCTGGCAGAAGCAGAAAGCCCAGGCAACCGACGAGCCCTAGCGCCATAAAAGAAAATGAGGGCTGTTACCGTTTATGGGGTGTAAAGGGCTGCGGGGGAGGGGAGGGGGGAGGCCACAACCTCGGAGGCCCGAGCGCCTTGTAGATGTGGCGGGAGGGTTCAGCCTCATCTCCCCCGTTTCTTCTCCGCTCCTTCCCCCCAGTCCCCCGCGACCTCTGCAAAGATCTCCGTCCTGGAACGCGTAAAAGGGGAACCAGGGCGCCAGGAATGGGGCGTCTCCTCACGCCCCCCACCCCCAACCTGCCGCCAGGTTGGGACGCCCTCTGTTGCTGCAGACGGAAGGAACTTCAAAGAATGGGCACCGAGGGTGTGCCATAAAGGCCGGGTCTGCGAACTGTCTGGAATTCGGCCCTTAATGAGTTTACAACTGTCCAGCCCCAATTAAGATTTTCCACCAAAGCCCTTTCATTTGTCTGTTCTGTCTGCAGCCGATAAAGCGCTGCGGAAACAGCTCTCTTTTATGGGTACTGCCCTCTGAGCAGCGTAGATTCCGGGTTCCGCGCAGACCCCCCGGGGACCGGGTGTCCGAGGGCCTGGCCGTGTGGCGCCGGGCCCGCCGCGGCCGCGGGCGAAGTTCAGGCCCGGCCGCTGGAGCCGCAGTTCCACGGTTCTGCCAGCAGGTGGCAGTGTGGCTCCACGCAAGAGGCTCCGGCGCCGCCATCTCCCGCCGCCGCGACCCCGGGACGTTCCTAAGATGTCGACTGGACGCGAGCCTTTCTGGAGTGGGAGCCCCCAGATTTTAGTGAGCAGCGGTGGTGCATTCTGCACGCTGCTCACGCCAGGACGGGAGCCTCACTAGGAAACAAGCGAGCGGTGGGGGCTCGCCCGACCCGCACCCTGCGCTCCCGCTCCCTCCCGGGGGCGCGGCGGACCGGCAGCCGGGCGCGGGGACGGCTCCGGGGTCACTGTCCCCAGCGCGGGGCGAGCCTCGGGGCATCGGGACTCCCCGAGAAATCGTCTGGGCGACGCACAGACGCGAGGACTAAGGCCCGGACCCGGTGACCCCTCCCCAGGGGGCGTGCAGAGGGCGCACCCGTGGCCAGAGGCCCTGGGGCGCGGGAGCCCCCCAAGGCTGCGCCCCGTGCAGGGCCCCGCGGAGCCGGCGCCCCGGCCGAGCCAGAACTGCGGGGCTGGGCCACCTGGAATCCGCGACAGTAAAACTGGGGGGCTGAAAATCAGGCGTAAAGGCATTTTTGGTGGCTGTCTAATGTAGGTCTGGCGGTTGAGTTGCTTGGGAATGGGCATTTTGGGGAACAGACCAGGGGCTGCTTCGGTGATTCTGAAATAAACACGATGCTTAAAGTAACATTCCGGCTCCAGGATAGGCGTTCACGTCGTGGAAGCCGGCCCTGCTCTCTCTTGCCGCCGACTTTCCTCCGCACCGGAGGCCGGGAGGAGGAACGAGGCGCCCGTCCAGGCCCAGCCTGCCCCGGATTCTGGGTGCAGAACCTGCCCGGAGTCTCGCGGGAGGCGCCCGGAGGGCCGCGCGCCAGGCTCAGCCCCAGGTGCAGGGTGGATTCCCGGGGAAAACGCAAAAGCAAACAGAGGACCCTTGGAAAAAGCCCCGAAGCCTTGTGAACGTCGCACGCGGTGCATTTATTTGGGTTGTAACAGCCTCTGCCAAGCCCACAAAATGTTTACAACCTGCCTCTCCGCCCGTACACGCTGTAAAACTGGGGACTGGGTTTTGGCTGACATCTCTCCCGGGTGTTTCTCGCTTTCTCTCGCCCTTCTCCTTTCCTTTTTCTCTGTTTATACACACAGGTTGGTATTACAGACACAATGCCTTTATTATATTTTCTTACATAATACAAATATGTCACCGAGTCCGATTGTGAGAAGGGCTGTATAACTTCCCGAGTGCTGTCCGTGGCCGAGTATTCAAGCATCAGATAGAAAGCTTGGTTTATGTAGCTGCCAATAAATGACAGAGAAGGTCAGTGGCCACTGCTGGTCTCCCCAGGTCACGGAGGCCCCAGGGAGGTGCCGCCTGGCGGGGATCTCGAAGGCCTCGTGGATGGCCAGGCGGGGTCTCGCTTGCCCTTGGCCTGCCGGCCGGCTGGGAGATGGTTGCCCCTGCCCCGCTGCCTCGGACCGGCTTCCTTGCAAACCACCCGGGCGAGACCCCCGCGCCAGCATGAGCTCCTTGGCGTTTGTCGGGATGGATTTGCCCCTGCGCCGCGACCAGAGGCCGGATGGAGGACCGATGCGCAGGGCGCGCGAGGGCGCGCGGGGAGAAACGTTTAGAGAAGCAAATCGCCAGCCGCCGGGTTCCTGCAGGCTCCAATGGCTGCCGCGGAGCGGGTTTTATATTCTTAACTGGATGGAAATGTTGAGGATTATTTGGTACTCAGAAGCAGGGGAAACACGCTCTTCTTCAGGTATAGGAACCCGGCCCGAGGAGGGCGGTGGACTAGCTTTATCTAAAGACGGAGGGACATATGAGAACCCCACCTACAAGCGCCTGCTCCAGGCCAAGCGTCAACGAGTATTTCTGGGAATATTATCACATATAACCCAGGACATTTGTGACATTTTAGCCAAATATTTAGGAAACTAATGGCTCAAGGACACGCAGTTAAAGAGGCCCTGTTGAAAGTCTGATTCTGTCTAGCCTTTTCGTTGTGAAACGCTGCCACAGAAGGCAGGAGCGGAGAGAGAAGACAGAAACGAAAGGGAGGTTTCAGCACCGGGGGATTCGGTCCAGGGGGCTGACTGGGGCCCACAGAGGCCTTGCGGGCAGTATCGAGATCGTTCTTGGCCCAGGCCGAGGGGCAACATGTCCTGCCAGGACCGCTTGGACCTGCATGGGACAAAACCCGGCGGGGAGAAGCCGGTGTCCCGGGCTCTAGCGCTCTTGGCAAGCAGTGCCTTCCTTCCCATCTTCCTGGAAATCGCTCCCCGCTCCGTCTGTCGGACCCGCTCACTCCGGACAGGGGACGGGTTCTACTGGAAACGCCTTCACTGCCGGCCGCTTCAGCCCCGGGAGTCTAGACAGACGGCGGTCGGCGGGCCGGGTCTTTCCCTTTGCATCTTGCTCTGTGTCGCTGGAGGAACAATTTATTGGTCTAAATCCTCCTCTTTGATCTCCTAGCCCTCTTCTTGTTTGTTTCGTGTTCCTTTAACTTCCTTAGGCTTTTATTTCGTTCCAGAAATTGATGCTATTTGGAATATTTAGGTTTTTCCTTCCCTTCCTGACTTGCCCCTCAATTCCCCAGCCAAGACAGCTATCGTTCTGTTCGGCCATAAAGGGCATCCGGATATTGCCTCCCATGGCCCCTGTACCTCCAGGGGACACCACCCTGGCTCCACCTGTCCCTACAGCCCCCAACTTCCCATCCACGCCCTGGGCCATCCACTAGGCCAGAGCTGGGGCTCCGTTGCAACCGGGGTCTGAACCCTCCTGCCACCTTTTGTGCTCCCAGGACCCCCTGAGAGGGTGCGGTGGACGGGGGGCGGGCTGGAGCCTCTGACAGTGAGGGGAAGCGCTTTGTACATGAAGAACCAAACTCTATAATTTAGAGAATTTCCGGGGCAATTCCATTGTGAGGTCGGGTTTATGGTGTGCAATAGAGCCGAGCAGTAAAAGGCGTACTGACCTGTCGGCCAGGCTTCCAACTCGGCCTGGCAGTTTATGAGGCATTTAGGGGAAGTGTTCACCCCACCACCCTCCAAGGAGCGGTGCGAAGCAGGCAGGGGCTTTGGCTGTTCCAGCCTTGCCCTGGGGTTGAAGGCTTGGAAGGTAAGCTCCACCAGTTGGGGGTCTGGATGGGAGGGAGAGAGACTACTGTGCACTCCACTCTCTGTGAGCTGGCCTTTGAAAAAGTGAAGCCTTTTGGGAGGGATAGCTCTATTTGTCTTTGGGGTCTCCAAAAGAAATGGAGACCCAGAGTAGGCTGCAGCCTCCAAGCGCCTGGGCCCCACTTTCTCCTCTCCAAATTGGCTCTACAGAATGTATTTCTTCCAGGCACTCAGACCCAGGGAGGGGTTGCAGAGGCCCAGGGTGGCCACAGGAAGGCGACCAGAAACCTCAGGGTACAAGCGGTACCTGGAAAGGTGCAGGGCCTGAGGTTTCTGCCACGTGGAGGAGACTCGGTTTTCTTTCAGCCGGGGAGAACCCAAGGTTGCCGGGAAGGACAAAAGAATGTCCAGCCATTTCTCGGGCTGCCAGTCAGGTGCCCAGGAGGAAAAGCACAGAACAGGAGGGGCCGCAGTGTCCAAAAGGAGAGAAGGGAATCCCACGTTAGTAAATCTGTTGGCAAATGAGGCTCATTAACAGATAAATATTTCACTGCTTCCTTTAGGGCGGATAAACAGTGCGCCCCTGATTAAGGAAAGGAAGCTGGGGACCTTGACTTTATTCGAACCACATGGTTCCAGTTTGCTGTGGCATTCTCGCTGCAGCTGGAAGAGACGCTGCGCCGGCCCCATCTGCATCGGAGTCTAAGCGGGCCTGTCGCCCGCTGGACCTGGGTGGGAGGAGACAGGGGCAAGAGTCGATTCATCCAGAGCAGAGAGACCTGCCCATCAGGCCACCTTAGGGCGCGCGGGCGCTCGGGGTGCAGAGACCCTTCCTGGGCTGGGTCAGTGGGCAGAAGAGGGGCAGAGAGGACCCGTAGGCTTGGGCTAAGGTTTGGTGATAGGCAAGAACGGGTACCACCCTCCCGGCCCCACGCTGCCTCTGCAGGCCAGGCGTCCAGGTGGCGCTGGGCTGAGCGCTCCCACGGAGGCTGGGGTCCTTTCCTCCGCAGGTCCCGCCGGGCCTGCCGGGCGCGGGCAGATCTGTTGGCCACGGATTTGCGACCCTTCCCCTTCCATTCTAGGCTGCTGCGGGCCCCGCACAGCGAGACCACCTGTGAGGGCTGCGGAGATTGGCGGAGGCGATCATGTGGGCGGTCACGTGCTGCGGCGAGCTCCGTCCAAAAGAAAATGGGGTTTGGTGTAAATCTGGGGGTGTAATGTTATCATATATCACGCTACCTCGTAAAACCGACACTGAAAGCTGCCGGACAACAAATCACAGGTCAAAATTATGAGTTCTTCGTATTATGTGAACGCTCTTTTTAGCAAATATACGGCGGGGGCTTCTCTGTTCCAAAATGCCGAGCCCACTTCTTGCTCCTTTGCACCCAACTCGCAGAGAAGCGGCTACGGGGCGGGCGCCGGCGCCTTCGCTTCGACCGTGCCGGGCTTGTACAATGTCAACAGCCCCCTGTATCAGAGCCCCTTCGCGTCCGGCTACGGCCTGGGCGCCGACGCCTACGGCAACCTGCCTTGTGCCTCCTACGACCAAAACATCCCCGGACTCTGCAGTGACCTCGCCAAAGGCGCCTGCGACAAGGCGGACGAAGGCGCGCTGCACGGTCCGGCAGAGGCCAATTTCCGCATCTATCCCTGGATGCGGTCTTCAGGTAGGCGCAGCCGCCGGGCGGGCCGCAGGGGCGGGCGGACTGGGAGCCCGGAGCGCGGGGCTGCGGAGCGCGGAGCCGGGCGCGGGGCGGCTGCGAGCCGGCGGCCCCGTGACTCCTGGCGGCGCAGCCTTTCTGGTTTTAATTAGAGTCGAGGCGCCATAGCGTGGAGAGCCCGTAGCATTGTATGTAAATGAGGCTCATAAAACTTTTTATGGCCCAATTAATGGATTCAATCCTCGTAAATTTATTTAACTCCATTTGCCTTGGAATTTTAACATTAACTTTATTTGTTCGCTATTCTCTCTCTTTCTCACCCCCTTTCTCCTCTGTCCTTCCCACCTCCTTTTTCTTTCTGCCCGGCTTTTCTCTCTTAAAAGCAGGAATAGCCTAGCCCGTCAGGGCCCCTCGCACGCCCTGAGCCAGGGGCCATTTAAAGGCTGAGGCGGGGGTGGGATCGGGCACAGAGGGGCCGAATGCCCTAGGAAGGTCTGGGGATGGGGGCGCGGGCCACTGGGGAGGAAGGGGGCCCTTGGAGTGAGGACCACCGAAGGCTGCCCACTTGCCTAGCCAGGCGGGGAGCGTCCCGTCTCGTCTTTGAATGACAAAAAGTGCAGCGTCTCCCACTTACCCACACTCTGTATTTACAATTTCCCTTTGTCAGGGGGAGGCTAGACATTGTGGAAGCCTAGCCGGCTGGAAAGGGAGGTTGTAAAGTTGGGATTCTGCGCCTGCCCTCTTCAGGGAGCTGCCTGTGTGTCTGGCACCGCAGTTGGGGTCTCCCCTATCACTCCCGCTCCTCCCCCAGCTGGGCTCCGGGCAGAGGGGGACGCGCCCCGGGTCAGGGCTGGAAGGAAGGTCTGAGCTCCGGGGCGGCGGCCTGGCGAATGCAATGTCCTCTCTGTGTCCCTGTCGGCTTGTCTGTCCGTGTGTCCACGTATCCACATGTCTGCTTGCAGGGCCTGACAGGAAGCGGGGTCGCCAGACTTACACGCGCTACCAGACGCTCGAGCTGGAGAAGGAATTTCACTTCAACCGCTACCTGACCCGGCGCCGCCGCATCGAGATCGCCCACGCGCTCTGCCTCACCGAGCGCCAGATCAAGATCTGGTTCCAGAACCGCCGCATGAAGTGGAAGAAGGAGCATAAGGATGAGGGGCCCGCCTCGGCTGCAGCCCCCGAGGGCCCTGCGCCCGCCGCCGCCGCCGCCACTGCGGCAGACAAGGCTGAGGAAGAGGAGGACGATGAAGAAGATGAGGAGGAGGAGGAGGAGGAATGAGCGGCCCAGCCCGGCCCTCGGCTGCACCAGACAGTCAGGAAAGCGTCTTTAGAGACTCACTGATTTTATTTACAAAAGTGGAAAAATAAAAAGGAAATGTTATAAAAAAAAAAAAGAAAGAAAGAAACAGTCCCCAACCTGTACCCCAGCTACCCCATTACCCACTCCAGCTTCCCACTTTTCTGGACAGCAGCCGCCCAGACTGAGTCCCCCTGGGGATCCTCTCTGCCTCTGAGGAGCCCCCCAGCAGACACCCCCCCCTCATCCTAAGGCCGGCTGGCTCTGAGCTGGTATGGCTAAAGTACTACCTAGCACATGCCTCCGAGAGAGGCACCCCAAACTACCTATGGGCCCAGCCCCAGCGGGCCTCCATTCCCAGGAAGCCCAGAGTGTCCCTACACTGGCAGACACCCAGCACCTCCCCCACACCATCAAGGGCCCGACTCTCTCAGTACTACCTACTTGTCCCAAACTACCTATTTTGTGCTCCCTGGCTTGCCTGCTACCTAGTGCCGGCCCCTCCCAGGCTAGGCCCCTACTGCTTGCAGATGGCAGCCTTCAGGGTCCCTGAGGCTGCATTGAGAAGGTGCTGGGGTCTGGGGACCAGGGCATTGGCTTCTATTTAAATTGAAAATTAATATATTTATTCCAAAGCATTCTAAGTGCTGCAACCTAGAATCCCTCTTCTCTGGCCTGAGTACTCCAAGTTCAGGCCCGTCACCCCCCACTTCTGGAGGGGAGCACTCCCAAGCTACCTGAAGATTTCTGAGTTAGCTTCTGCTTAGTAGGACCACAGAGATGCTCCCAGCCTCCTTGCCCCTCCCTGTCCCTGTGTCCTACTGCCCAGCCATGTTGAATATGTACACCCTGACTTTTCCTACAGTAGCAAATATTGTATATTTGAATAAGATTTTTTTGTCATTTATATAGTCTTGGAGCTCATTTGTAAGGCAATGTCTTGACTTGGGAAGGATGTGTTACTGAGGTGACTTTGTAGCATGGTGTGTTGTCTTGAGCTGATTCTGTAGCAGGTGGGGAGAGCCAATGCCCCCCCCCCAGGGCCCTTCATCTCCTGTGTTGTCCGGCGTCCCCCTTGTATCCCCCTCAGCTCCAGCCTGGAATTCCAGGAGCAGGAAGGTGTGCTTCCAGCCTTGCCCAGCTAATGATGTTTTGTGTAACAAAAAAAAAATAAAGATGCTTGGTGACAAACGTGGCCTGCTTTATGGGGGGGGGGTGCCGGGAAAGAGGGTAGCCATGGCTGGAAAGCAAGCCCTGGCTCTGTGTGTGTGTGCGTGTGCGTGCGTGTGCAAAGGGGTTTCAGGGAGGCAAAAGTGGAAGCACAGATAGGGTCCAAGTGTTGGGTGTGCATGAATTGGTGCGTATGTGTGTCAAATTCTTTTTGTGTGTGGATTTTTAAAGCGTGGGTGTATATATGTATGTGTGTGCCTCTTTTGTATGTGTATTTCTTTGTACATCTGCGTGCAGCTTTACACGAGCCCATAATTATGTATTTCTGTGTCTAATGGAATGAAAGTGTTTCTGCATGCAAATAATTGCATGTATTTATCTGTCCATAATTCAGTGTATGCGTTTCTGTGTGGCCACAATTGTATGTGTGAATTTCTCTGGGTGGAGATTTTTCGTCTGGTGTGTATGTGTGCACGCACACTCAGCCTCCAGGTACTTTGGAAGCGAAACCTTCGATTGGTACATTATGTTCTATGAACCTCCCTAAAAACCTCCATAAAGTCCAAGAGCAAATGTAAAATCCACTCTTTCCTCTAAGGCTGTGGGATGGGCTTGCAAAAGGGTATCACCCCGCCACCCACCTGGAATTCGCCAGGAGCCCTGAACCTAACGCCAGGCTGGGAGGTGGGATTCAGGGCCTTTGACCAAGGCCGCCCCCACTCCGCATTCCGGCTGAGTGTCCGCCGCCGCAGCTCGGAACCCTGAGAAGGGGCAAGGGCCGCAGGCGCCCGCTGGAAGCCTGGGCAGGGGCGTCTGGGCGCCGGGAACGATGAGGGGCTGGGGAAGGGGCGAGGGGCGGTGTGGATGGCGCACCCCGGAGTGAGCGCGGCGGGCGAGGACCGCGACTCCAGTCTGCCGCCTGGGCTGGGCTCGCTTCTGGTTGCTCATTTAGAAAACCCGGCCCAACTGGGTCTGCAAAACCTGCGGCCCCAAGTCGGGGCGGCCTCCGTGGTAAGATGGCGCCGGTGTAAGAGCTGCCTCCTCTTAGAGATGGGGAAAGGGTCATAAATCCGTTGTTGTTTATGAAAATTTACAACTTTGCAATACAACTTTATGAGTTGTTCGGCCCTTCCATTGGCCGCTGTCGGTCATGTGGATGGGAACCGTGAACATGAACTTTTTTATAATTTCCCTTGCGAGAATAGAGCCGCATTCTTTCGCTCCGCTCCGTCCTGCCTGCTTCGGAGCTCCCTGCCTTACAGCCCGGCTCCGCTGCGCTTTGTCCGGCGATGGAAGGCGAGACGAGGTCCCGGGCCGGCCGGGCCTGGCGGCTCCAGCTGGAGGTGGGGCGCGCCCAGTCCCCGGCGCCGCGGCGGCCGCTTTGCAACTCGCAACCTGGCTAATTTCCTGCGTCCTCTGGCACCAGGAAGGAGGACAATTCGTCTCCCCGGGCTGCCCGAGCGACAGCTGTCAGAGGGGCAGGAGCTTCTGGGAGCCGCCATCTGAAGGTGAGACATGTGGGGAGACAGGAGCAAAGGTGGTGAGATGGCAGCCGCGCCGGCGCGGGTGGGAGAGGGCACCCAGGGTGGCTGTGAAGAGGGGCATGCTACCGGTCCCCCACACTCCCCCGTTCACATTCGTCCCCTCGTCACACGACACCACAGTCCCCCGCCACCGCGCGCGCACACACAGACACACACACTCCCTTTCTCCTCTCCCTGGCTCACAGTGGCAGCGAATGCCCGCCTTCCTTCCGGTGGCACAGCGCCCGGGCACCGGGGCGGGAGCGCCGGGGTCTCTCTCCCTTTGCCCAGCGACCTGGCCGAGCCCCAGAGGAAATGACCCTGCACCCTGCGTTCCCTGCCAGCCTCTCGGATTTGGATTTTTTTCCTCTTTTTTCATTAATGACCAAATTGGTTCGATTGAATTCCCCAACGACTGGGGGGATAGATCCCTGCCTGGTAAGGCGGGAAGAGATGAAGGCAAAGTGAATTTATTGACAGGCGTTTGATAGCATCAACACAGTACCTTCTATTTTCCTGAGAACTGGTTTCTGGAAAGAAAGGTAGAATTGGGGGTGGGGGGCGACGGGGAGGGAAACAAACAAAAACTTACTAATCCAGCCAGAGACCTCTGCTGATGGCCTGGTTCCTTCCACGCGGTTTTCGGATGACAGCGATGTCAGAGGCGCGAGGAGAGGGAAGAGGCGCGCGGGTGGGATTCTGTGTGGAAGGAGAGGATGGGGTTAATTGGCTGGGTGTCCCTTGGCGGGAAGTTTCGGTGCAGAGGGTTGAGTGGTGTTATTCCGAAGGGCAGGCGCCCGCTGCTGCGGGTGAAGGGAGGACGCCCACCGAGTCTGGGCGATGGGGGGACCCCCCACCCACCCACCTCGGCGCAGCGGGCCGCGGACCGCTCACCGCAGTCGGCGAGGGGTGGAGAGGACTGAGGAGCGTCCGGGGCGCGGGCGGCGGAGGGGACTGCCGCGTTATCTTTACGTCGCGCGGTGGCACACGGCGCGGTTTGGTCTGGGTACCTCTCGGCCGGATTTGCCCCCGGAGCTCCCCGAGACAGCGGCCAGAAACCACCCAGAGGTTTTGGGCTCGAGTTCTTTATGTTTGGGGGTTTTTTTGGTTTACGTTGTTTCTCCACCTTAAGATACTACCTTGGTGTGCATGAGATAATGAAGAAATAAGTGGCTGTGGAGGTTCGAAACGCTCGCGGGCGCTGTGGGTGCGCTCAGGGCAGATAAAGCCGCGCATTTGCATTGCAGGGCCGCGGGCGGCCTGACTGCGGCTGCCGCGGGCCCATTATTTATTGCGGCCGAGCCCGGGCGGCTCGCTGCTGCCACGCTGTGGCCATCTCTGGGACCGACGCCAGCCGCAGCCCCGCGTCGTGCAGCCTGGCGCGACTGCTGCTCGGGCCCCTCACAGATTCCCAAGCAGGCCGAGCAGAGGGGGGCGAGGGAGGACCCGAGGGGCGGTCTCCCAGGGCCCTACTGGCCGGGAACCTCCCCCGCCTTGGCCACCTGACAGGAGCTGGACGCCCGACTACACTCGGGTTCCCCCTCCCCCCCTGCACCATGGAGACTGGTTGCACAGGCCGCCTGGCACGTCATGGCTGCTTCAGTCCAAACTGCGCGTCCCAAGGCGCCCTGGGGGCGCAGGCTGGTTCGGGGAACGCAGCGCTTTGGGATTTCGAAATCACAGAGACCACTGGTAGTCCTGAGGCCTGCAGGCCTGGCCCTAAGGAGGACTGGCTATGGCAAGGAAGGCGGGCTTTGGCTCCAGGCGAGACCCGGTGACAGGAGCAGGCCACACCTGTGTGCTGTGGGCTCCGGTCTGGGCTAGAGATCAGGGCTGAGGAGATGGCCTTCAAGGTCCCCCCAACACCGGCAGGGCGCCCTCCAGGCTGGCAGAGGTCGAGGAGCTCAGTGGGCAGCCCAGGGAAGGGGCGGCTTGTGGGGGCCTGCTCCCCATCCTGTCCCCTTTTTGAAGAGAAGCTGAAAGGTAAGTGGACTTTCTGTGTGGCTGTGACCGAGAAGAGAGCGCCCTGGTGACCATTCTCGCCATCCCAGGAAAGGACCCCTCCACTGTCTGCGGTTCATATTCTTGCCTGAGTGTTCTCTCTGTGTGTGTATATATATATGTGTGTGTGTGTGTGCGTGTGCGTGTGTATTCGCTGGTTGGAGAAATAAATTTGGGTGGCTGCCAACATGATATTTACCAGCCTTGGCTAACATGCATAGATTTATATTTAATATATTTTCCACCTTATTACCTATAGAAACTAGAAATATAATTTTTTTGGCTCTTAGCTGAGAACTCAAATTATCTTGTTGACTGGGACTATTAGGAGATTGAGAATCCAGGTCAAAATATCACAAATAATAATAACAGCAGTAAACTGCCACCAACCCCAACAGTGTGTGTGACGTGGAGGAAGGAAGCAGAAATTATAAATGTAACCATTTGTTAATATCTCCAAACGGTTTTGCGTCTTATGTGATAACTTGCTTGAAACCACTGTCATCTCATGGTCTTGTGTAAGAAACGATAACTTGACATGATTTTCTTGTGATGTAGCTTTTGAAAAATAATTCCCATGAAATGTTTTGACTCTTGAGTTTTTATTTTCTTCTATCAGATCCTTTCCCTGAAGAAATGCCAGGGAAATACAAAATTCTACCCTTTCCTGCCAGGACCATTTTCATAAATGCAGAGGAGAAACTTTCTCTGTTGGGTTGACTGGGGCACAACCAGAAGGCTTCTAGGTACAGCCCCCAGGGTGGGAGCAGCCGCCTTCAAAGCTGTACCCTAGGCTCCGTGCACCTAGCTGACCTCGGCCCAGTTCTTTTCCATTTTCTGTTCCTTTTGGGGGAAGTGAGTGAGGGCGAGGGTGGGGAATCGAAAAGCAAGGAAGAGATGAACAAAACCACTTCCAGATTCCTAGGGGGGCATGGCCACCCCCACAAGTCCTGAACCCTATTCTCTGTATTTGCCAGAGTTTTACAGAGGTTATAAACACCCTCTGGAAATTCAACCAAATCATATAAATAGTCTTTCTTCAGTCTTCACAGAATTGAGGATTTTAAAGCTAATTCAAGGGGTTTTGCAATCCCCCCAAATACAGTCGTAAAGATGCCCTTGGAAAGATATCACATTTTACAAAATGAGATTGATCCTTGCGCCGTGAAAGTCGACTCTCTCGAAGGCACACCTCTCAGGCAAGAGAGAGCAGCCCAGGGGGCAGGCTTTTCCTGTCCTGTTTGGGGAAGGCCGGGCCCAGGACTGCGATCAAAGCAATTCAGACGATTCCTGGAGCTGGTGAAACAACTGGTCCCCGTTCTGGAGCGACTGTCCCGGGCAGGCCCCTGACCAGTCCCAGACGAGGCAGAAAAGAGGACACAGTCCAAGACGGGGCCCGGCATGGGGCGCCCCAGACACTAAGCACATCAATTATCCCGCGGACTTGGGCCCAGGCGAACTGCCCTCTATGGCCGGGTGGGTCAGAGACCCCGATGCGTCCGCACCTCTGGAATAAGAGAGATTCTCCGTGTGGATCTGTCTCAGTTCTGAGAGGTCCAGGGGGTGGAGGGAGATTCCCCAGGCTCTGCACGATGGGAGCAGGTCCCGCGGCTGGCTTCAGAGCTTAGTCTCAAGGCCACTCTGTCGGTCCCTTTCCTGTAGAAACCAGCGGTTTCTGGTCTATCAGTTCCTGGTTTCAAAGGCGGAACGGGGATGCACAGCTTGCGGAGGTGGAGGTGCTTTGAGGCCAGACAATCGCTGGCCATTGGAGCGGAGGGAGTCGGGACTCAGATCTGTTGTGCGTGGGAGGAGGGGCCGGCGGGGCAGGAGAGTACCTTCGGCGGAGTCCCGGGTAGCTCCAGGTGAGCCTTCCGCCTTCAGCGGCTGGCAGGCCTAGGCGCTCGGTGGGAGTGGGGAAGGAGCAAAGGAGGGGATGCGCCAATTCCTGAGGCGCAGGAGTGCGGAGCAAGGAGCTCAGGCCTGGTGTCTCAGAACCCTCCTCCAGCTCCAGAACCGCACCCACGGGTAGAGCAGTGCAGGGGGAGGGGCGAACTCTGGGCCCTGCCAGGAGGGCAGGACAGAGAGCAAAGCCGTCCCTGTCACCGCCCCTCTGGGCGCAGGGCTGTCAGGTTTCCTGTTTGGAGAGAAAACCCAGCAAAATCCGACAGGGCAAAAAGGGGCGGAGGAACGAGCGGGCCCGGTGGGGCCTGGCAGCGGCCCGGGAGCGCTGCCCCAACCCCGGCCTGATCCCCACACTCCCGTCCGGGCAGTGCCCGCCGCTGGCGTTCGGAAAGGGAGACGGGCCGGCCGGCTGTGCGCGCCCATTAATCTGCTGGGCGGGCGGCGGGCGGGCGGGCTGGGGGCTGTTTGTAACTTTGCTGCCTCGGTCGCCGTGGTCCCCGGGGAGCGGGCTCCGGCGCTCGCTCCCATTGGCCGCCGCCGCGTCAGCTGGTGCGATTTGCTGCTGTCGCTTTTGGCGTTCGGCCATCCAGAAACAAACCAGTTCGATGACTACTAATAGTTATAGCCAGATGTACTAATACACAACAAATCACAGTCCTGCAGAGGGGCGCGCAAATGAGTTCTTATTTTGTGAATCCCACTTTCCCCGGGAGCCTGCCCAGCGGCCAGGACTCCTTCTTGGGCCAGCTGCCCCTCTACCCGGCCGGCTATGACGCGCTGAGGCCCTTCCCGGCTTCGTACGGGGCGTCGAGCCTCCCGGACAAGACGTACACCTCACCTTGTTTCTACCAACAGTCCAACTCGGTCCTGGCCTGCAACCGGGCGTCCTACGAGTACGGGGCCTCGTGTTTCTATTCTGATAAGGACCTCAGTGGCGCCTCGCCCTCGGGCAGTGGCAAGCAGAGGGGCCCCGGGGACTACCTGCACTTTCCTCCCGAAGCACAGTACAAACCCGACAGCAGCAGCGTGCCGGGCAAAGCCCTGCACGACGAAGGCACCGACCGGAAGTACACGAGCCCCGTTTACCCCTGGATGCAGCGGATGAACTCCTGCGCTGGTAAGGCATTTCCCGGCAGCAGCAAGCGCCCCCCCCCCCCCAAGAGAGTGGAGGGAGAGGGGGAAGGAGGCAAGGAAAGAAGGAAGGAAGAGACATAGAGAGTCGACAGAGGAAATAGAAAGACAGGAAGAATGAACAAAGTTTCTTTGGCTTAAAAAAAAAAAGATATTAAACCCCCCATCCCATTCCCAATGGTGCAATCAAGCTGTGGCAGAGTGAAGGCAGGGCGCTAGTGTCCATGTAAGGTGACACCTTAAGAGATCACGTTTGTGAGTGTGCGTGTGTGTGTGGGGGGGTCACTGCCACCCTATGTGCGACTGGAAACAAGGGCAACCTGAAGACAGAGCCAGGCTGGACGGGAGGGAGCTCCTGCCCACACTACACCCTGGTGACACCCTGCTCAGATTCCCAAGCCCAGAAGGCCTTCTGCGCCCATCACTGATCACTCCCCCTCACCTCCCAACCCCCTCTCCTTACTGCCCTTCAGAAATTCACATAGCTAGAGGCCCTTATCTGGCCTCTTCCAGGGTCATCCCAAAGCCTTGGAGGGCCACATCCTCAACCTCAGTATGTCTTCTCTCTCCTCCCTCCCCTTCTCCCCCTTCATTTAACTGCTCACTTACAGCCGACTTCTGCCTCCTTCTGAGACCCTGCCTGAATCTCAGGCACCCAGCTTGGGGGGAGCCCCAACCCAGGGGCCCCTTTGGCACCAGAACAGACAGCCCATTGCAGCCCGGTTTCCGGGAACCACAGATGGCCCACAGCGCCATCTCTTTGCCCCTGGTTTCCAAACCCTCCACTGGGAATGCTTAGAGTTGGCCGCCGCCTGATGCAGATTTAAAAATTTAGTGTTTTTGCTTTAAAACCCACTCGTTTCTTCCCCCCCCCCCCAAGGAGGCTCTCTGTTTCTCAGAAGGGCCATACAATTTGGGGACATTTGCAAAGACTTAAGAAGGTTGACCATTTTTAATTTTCCCAAAAGCGCTTTGAGTCCTGAGATGGCTGGCCACAGTAACATTTTCACAAAACCCCTTTGTGGATTTAGAGTGTCTACCCTACTCATAGGGTCCCACACCCCCACTCCCAGGCATACATGCGCCACACTCACCAAACGAGACTTAGGTACCCAGAATTAAAAATGCTCATTACAGTGTTTTGCTTGTAATGGTATTCTTACAGAGAAGATTCTTCAAAAACAATAACTTCCCACCCCAAGTAGTTTTAGGTGGCAAACATCTCGCTTGGTGTGAAATAATCGTCTCCCATCCAGCCGGCTTTTGGCCCAAGACTTATGGGAGAGGCTGGAGTGGAGGCGGGTGGTTTCCAGCCCAGAGGCCAGGGGCGCGGGGCGTGGGGTACGGGGTTGAGAGGCGCGGCTGCCCGGATCCTGGCTCACCGGCGTCTGGCCATTTCTGCCTGCAGGTGCTGTGTACGGGAGCCACGGGCGCCGAGGCCGCCAGACCTACACGCGCTACCAGACGCTGGAGCTGGAGAAGGAATTTCACTTCAACCGCTACCTGACCCGGCGCCGCCGCATCGAGATCGCCAACGCGCTCTGCCTCACCGAGCGCCAGATCAAGATCTGGTTCCAGAACCGCCGCATGAAGTGGAAAAAGGAAAATAAACTCATCAATTCCACACAGCCCAGCGGGGAGGAAGCTGAGGCAAAGGCGGGCGAGTAGACGCCTGGGCAGGGACCAGGCCAGTACCGCAACCTCCCTCGGCTTTGCCCCTACTCGCTTGCTCCCCAACTTTTCTCCTCGCCTGCTACCCTTTGGGGGGCTTACGCAGCTTCAGGGGAGCTCGGAGCTTTGCAAACGCCCGAGCACTTATTTTTTACAAAAGAAAAAAAAAAAAAAGACACACAGCCAACCCCAGGGAAGGAGCGGGGCGCGCTGCACACACAGCCCTGCACTCCAAGGCTGCCCAAGCCCTCTCCGGATCCCAGGGCGAGCCCCGGATTCGTCCCCGGCTCCTGTGCTAGAGCCTCTGCGTGCCTCTGAGCTCGGGACGCGGGGTTGCTGGAGAGGGAAGAACCCAAGGACCAAGCCGCTTTTGGTGTCTGGGCGTTTCGACCTCGGTTCCTCGCCACCAAGTCCCGAAGGGCACCACCACATCAACTCCAACCACTGCAAAGAGGGGACCTAAAGCTTGGGGCCCTAGCACTGCGGTGGCCTCCCAGGCCGCCCCCTGCCAGGAAGAAGCTTGAGGAACAAAGGGGGCCCCGAGAGAGCCTAGTCTCTCGGCCCCGCGAGCAACCATCCGTGGAAGAGAAGCAAACAGCCTCAGCCGAGCACAGTCAACCTGGGCACGGGCGGAACTTCACAGCCTGGGAGCGACTGGGCTCCCGAAAGCTCTAGGCTCCGGATTCCAGCTCCCCGTCTCCGACAGTGCTGGCGCTGCCACCATAGCAGCTTTCAGGACCTAAGAAGGGGGTCCAGGGCCATGGGAGCGGCACGAATCACGGTTTCCAAGCGTGCCAGGGGCGCCTGCTATGCCGGGCCTCCAGCGGGGAAACCCTCCCATGCCTTTCGCCTATATTTGTGATTTACTTTCATCTTTCAGATCCCAGGAAAATAACTACGGAGATGCCAGGCACTGACTGCCACGAAATGCTTCCATTAACGCCCTCATTTTACTCCTGGAGGTCTAAGCAAGACCCTGAAAACTCGGCCCACGAATCCCCAGCCCCCAAGAAGAGTCTGTGGCTGCGGGGAGCCTAGGCCCACTCGCTGGGTTCACCGAGAACCCTCCGACTTGGGGCCCGGCTGGCTCCAGGAAGAGGACCCAGTGGTGGAGATTCTCCAGGCTGGATACTTAAAGCAAATCAAACAGGAAACTAATGACACGAAAACTATATTTACCCGAAAGAAAAATCAAATGTGGTTATAAAAGTGTATGGAATTTGACCTCACTTCGGAGAAACACTACACAAAAGATATCCTTAATAGACGCCTGTCATTTAAGAGCGGTGGAGACACTGTCCCTCATGCGCTCGCAAAAACAGAGCCGTAATTGTAGCTGCTGCTGCGGGCAGGATTTATTTCTCCAATTGGTTAAATGGCCTCCCCCCCTTCCCCGAAGGTGATATCTGTATTTTCAAATTTCAGAGCTGCCGGCACGACAGGCAGAACCGGCCCCGACCTCGACACAAAAATAAGAGGGGCTGCACAGCGGGGAAATAAAGTTGTTGTAAATAAAATCCAAGTCACCATCTCCCCCCCCAGTCCTCTGCATCCTCGCCGGGCACGCGATCGGCAGCTGACGGCCTCACAATTGGTACATCCTAATGGAACTGCGAGGGAAATGCAATAATTTTGCTATAATGGGCTGTAACCTCAATTCGACCCCGGCCCTTGCAGCCCCGGGTCGGAAGCGGAGCGATACTCCGTGCTTCCAGCGGGTGGCGCTCGAGTCCGACTGAACGGCGGCGGCAGGCGGCGGGCACGCGCCTGGGGCGCGCGCACCACCCCTCTCGCCTCCACCCAACTCCCCCATTAGTGCACGAGTTTACCTCTAGAGGTCATCAGGCAGGATTTACGACTGGACAACAAAAGCACGTGATTCGAAGTCGTACCCCATATTTGGGTGCCTACGTAGGAGGGAACCAAGTACATGTCCCAGTCATTTCCATAATTCATCATAAATTGTGCAAGGGTGCTATAGACGCACAAACGACCGCGAGCCACAAATCAAGCACACATATCAAAAAACAAATGAGCTCTTATTTTGTAAACTCATTTTGCGGTCGCTATCCAAATGGCCCGGACTACCAGTTGCATAATTATGGAGATCATAGTTCCGTGAGCGAGCAATTCAGGGACTCGGCGAGCATGCACTCCGGCAGGTACGGCTACGGCTACAATGGCATGGATCTCAGCGTCGGCCGCTCGGGCTCCGGCCACTTTGGCTCCGGGGAGCGCGCCCGCAGCTACGCGGCCGGCGCCAGCGCGGCGCCCGCCGAGCCCAGGTACAGCCAGCCGGCCACGTCCACGCACTCGCCTCCGCCCGACCCGCTGCCCTGCTCGGCCGTGGCCCCCTCGCCCGGCAGCGACAGCCACCACGGCGGGAAAAACTCCCTGGGCAACTCCAGCGGCGCCTCGGCCAACGCCGGCAGCACCCACATCAGCAACAGAGAGGGGGTTGGCACGGCGTCCGGAGCCGAGGAGGACGCCCCCGCCAGCAGCGAGCAGGCGAGCGCGCAGAGCGAGCCGAGCCCGGCGCCGCCTGCCCAACCCCAGATCTACCCTTGGATGCGCAAGCTACACATAAGTCATGGTAAAGCCAGCCTTTTTCTAAAACCACGCGGCAGCGGCGGCGCGGCTCTCGGTCCCCTTCTCTCCTTTAACGCCCTCTCTCCCCGTCTCTCTCCTGGTCTCGCCTCTCCCAGCCCCGTGGAGCCTCTCTCCGCCGGTCTCCTTCCCTGCCTTCCTTCGTCCTCCTTCCGTTCTTTGCAGAGCCCTGGCTCGCAAGTGTGCGGGGGAAAGGGCCAATGGATTGGCAAGTTTAGACAGTGAAAGGGGGGAAAGGATAGAACCCAAGTCGAACCCCAGCGCCTCGGAACGCACTCCTGGGTCAGACCAGCCCAGCAGGGCACGGAGAGGTAGAGGATGGCAGTAGGGGCTGTGAATCGGGCTTGTCAGGACGGATAATTTATGAGGAGGGCTACGCTAGGGAAACAGCGTTACTAATTAGAGTCCCCGAAAAGGGGCTTCGGGGGGTGGAATAATCCGGGCGAGAGCCGGCGGGATTCTGGAGTTTGGGGGCAGGAGGAAGAGCAGGAAGGGAAAGGGAAGAAAAAGAAAGCAGGCGCCCCAAGCGTGCAGGCTGGAACAGGAGGCGGCTCTTGGGGCTGGAACTTTAAGGGAGGGTAACCTGGAGGCCACGTAGGCTCTCAGAAAAGGGCCTTGCTTTCGTGGGTTTCTGAGTGGTGGGCAGCCTGGAAGGGCTGTGCCCCCGCCTCGGGGCGCCAGGGGCAGGGCCAGAGGGCAGGAGAGGGCCGAGGGAAAGCTGGACGATCCTCCGGGTCGTGTCTCCAGCCTCGGCTGGACCGATTGTTCCCAGAGTCCAAATTGTATTGTTTTCTCTGTAAAGAGGAAGAGGGAAGGAAATTCGGGAGGGGTGGGCGGTCGAGGAGGAAAGACTTGTTGAGCTTTTCTCCCCTGTACCTTGCTCAGCACCCTGACTCCTCCAGCTGGCGGACTCTGGTGGCCAGGAGCTCAGGAGCTGGTGGCTAAACCGCTGACTTTTCTGTTGCAGACAACATAGGCGGCCCGGAAGGCAAAAGGGCCCGGACGGCCTACACGCGCTACCAGACGCTGGAGCTGGAGAAGGAATTCCACTTCAACCGCTACCTGACCCGCCGAAGGAGGATTGAAATAGCACATGCTCTTTGCCTCTCCGAGAGACAAATTAAAATTTGGTTCCAAAACCGGAGAATGAAGTGGAAAAAAGATAATAAGCTGAAAAGCATGAGCATGGCGGCGGCGGGAGGGGCCTTCCGCCCCTGAGTATCTGAGCGATTAAAGTACTGAGCAGTATTAGCGGATCCTGCGTAGTGTCAGTACTAAGGTGACTTTCTGAAACTCCCTTGTGTTCCTTCTGTGAAGAAGCCCTGTTCTCGTTGCCCTAATTCATCTTTTAATCATGAGCCTGTTTATTGCCATTATAGCGCCTGTATAAGTAGGTCTGCTTTCTGTTCATCTCTTTGTCCTGAATGGCTTTGTCTTGAAAAAAAATAGATGTTTTAACTTATTTATATGAAGCAAGCTGTGTTACTTGAAGTAACTATAACAGAAAAAGAAAAGATAAAAAAAACACACAAAAAAGTCCCCCTTCGACCCCGTTTAGTGCCAATGTCGTGCGCTGCACCCCAGTTGTTTAACTGTGCATGTGAGTGGAAGTGTTCCTGTCAATAGCTCCAAGCTGTTAAAGATATTTTTATTCGAACTACCTATATTCCTTGTGTAATTAATGCTGTTGTAGAGGTGACTTGATGAGACACAACTTAACTTGTTTGACGTGTAGTGACTAGTGGCTCTGTGACGAAAACTGTGACTCTGAGCGGTGTGTCCCTGCGTGCCTTTGTAGGACCCTTTGCACGAACTCTGGAAGTGGCTCTTATAAGCGCAGCTTCAGTGATGTATGTTTTTGTGAACAAAGTTACAAATATTGTCCAAGTCTGGCTGTTTAAGCAAACTGTGATCAGCTTTTTTTTTTGTATTTGTTTTTAAGGAAAAAAAATACTGACTGGAAACAAACAAAAATAAACTTTCTATTGTAAGTTCTCTTGGTCTGGTTTGTGCCACATAGTGAGCGGCTCTTTTTGCTCTTCTTTCTGTCTGTCCAGTCCTGGAGGCGGTGGGTCTGAGGCTACCTGAGCAGCCTGCCGGCGCCAGGACACCTCAGACCCACAGCCTCCCTGACGCTGACCTTCCAGAGAGTTCAGGGCAGAAGGTGGAAAAGCTGTAGATGCTTCCAAAGCTTAAGTCCAACCTGCCCATCTCTGAAGAAACCAAGTTTAACTTGCTGGGTAAAAAAAAGAGAGAGAGAGAGAGGAAGAGAGAGAAGGGAAGAAAAGCCCAGGGCTTTGTTGGTGGCCCACAGGCCCACACAGATGCTGCCTGCTTCCTAAGGCCATCCTGGGCTTCCACTTGGAGAGGCTGCTATGCCAAGTTGTGGCCCCCAAACCCTCTGCCCCCTGACCCACCCAGGCACCCCTTCCCAGTCCTCACCCTGAACCCAGTTGGCTTCTTTGGCTACAATTAATGTGCTACAAATGGAAGGTACTTACCCCATCCTAGCTGGATTGAGAAACTCCTCAGAGCAGCTAAAGCGCAACTAGAGATTTGCACATTTACCGACTGCTTACACTGATGCCGTCTTTCCTTTTAAAAGTTATAAAACAGTAAACTTTATAAGCCCCAGTTCCGGCTATATGACATTTGGGTGCCAAATGAATAGGGTTTTGTCTATGAATTAGATCGTAAAATCATCCATAGCACAGACAGATCGGCTCACTGGCTATAAAACGTCACGTGGGGCCATTAAAGTAAGTTTTATGGTTTTGGGGAGTTGACATCCAACATTATATACCACATAACATATAATCTCACTGACGCTGGACTCCATTTGACTCTTTTGCAGGCTACGTGTGCTGCTTGGTCATTCAAATTGTCAATTTTAGGTCCAGAAGTGTCCAAACCACAAGTTCTCAAAACTCTCTGAAAAATGGCTCCCTCCGCGTTAAGGTAAGCTGGCCTCCTGAGCGCTTTCGAGTTTATTTGTCCTCTAAAAACTTTCTTCCTGGGTCTTTCTCTCTCCCTTTCTCTATCTGGTTCAGTAACTCGGAAGTTGCCTCTAAATTCAGAAGGGGAGCGCAAACTGTCCCCCTGCCCCCTGAGCAGCGCCAGGAGCCTGCTCTGCGGAGTCCCCACGGTGAACAGCGCCTGTGGCCGCGCCGCGTCCCCAGGCCCAACTTTAATTGCTGCACCACCGCGGATGTTAATGACTTCCGCTGCTTTCGCCGGCGTGCAAAAAAGATGATTTTTGTGTGCGAATGGGCCTGTGTGCGGCGACTTGGCAGGGCTGCCCCCCATTCCGGACTGGCGGGTCTCGGCTCTTCGGGGGTCTCGGAGCCCCGGGGTGGGGGCTGGGAGACAGTGGGGCGCGGGCTGCGGGCTCGGAGGGCCGCGCCGAGCTGGGGAGTGCGAAAGAAAGGCCCGGGCTGGGCCAAGGCGGACTCTGGCGGGATTCCTTGTGGGGCTGAGGCAATATGTCTTCGCAGGCCTGGGTCATTTGGCAGCCCTGAATTGAGGCGGCTGCCTTCGGGGCCGGGTTTCAGGCTGGCTCGTGAGAGCCGGAGGGTGGCAGAGGTCGGCGAGGCGCGGGCCGCACCTCCAGGCTGGGCCCCTGGGTTGCCAGGCCGAGCCCAAGACCCCGGGAACCGCGGGAACCCCACCTGTGGGGAGGGCTGCCCACCCCCTCCCCTGCGCCCGGGACCAGGCCCTGAACCTTGCTGGCCTGCCCGTTCTTTTTAGTTCGGTGGGACTGTTCTCACCCGCCTGTGAGTCTGAAGCAATAAACTTTATGGCCGGATTTAACTTTAGTCTTTGAATCCCCAGGCTAAATGAAAGGAGTTAAAGCGCTTTCTTTTCTTCCGCCTTGCCTTTCTTCTCACTCTCTTCTTTCCTTCTCCTCTCCTCTTTTGTGGAATTAGAACATCTATGCACAGGACCCTCAAAAGGCAACTTAGGCGTCCCCCAAGATAACACTAAAGATTAGAGAAATTAACTCCCCTTCAACATGCAGGAGGAATTCCTCCGAACTGTGCCCTAAAGTTTGGGGGGAAATCGAGGTGTCTTCAATGCCCAACTTGAAAGTCCCCAGGGCCATTAGGCTGTTTTCCCTGACACGTCATAAAGGGCAGTTGAGGGAAGGAATTGGTCGTTTGTCAGTAGGAGATTTCCGCCTTTCTTTTGTTAGCTGCTCCTTCTGTTAGATCCCAGGAAATTTACATAATCTATGATTTCCAAAACAGTCCTCGATATTGCACCAACGGGTGAAGCGAGGTAAAACAAAATTTTCCTGGGTACAATTCCAGCTTGGCCTCAGCCACCCCCTCTGGCCCGACCCCCCCAATCTTGGATGGCAAAGTGGTGTTTGGGGACCCTGTGGCCTGTCCTGGGGTGTTTCTCTGGGTGTGTACCCACAGGGGACCTAGCGGATTTCCCCCATCCGGTCTGAGGAACTAACCCAAACTCTCCAACTTAGAAATGAAGCAAACAAACCAGAAAATGGGATCTTCTGTTTCCAAATGCCTTTCTCCTTAGGAACTGGGTAGTGTTCTGCAAGTGCTAATTGGTAAAGATAAATGCTAAGTGCTTACAGTGAAAATTTTTAAATGAGAGACTTGGAATTTCAACATACTTTATTGTCCAGAGGCCACTCACACTCAACATCAGTCCAACAGATGTCCCCAAAGTCAGAGGTCCAACAAGCAAAACCTGGGAAGTTTTCTAAAAAAGTTGAAACCCTCCTACAATTCCCACTCCTCCTGAATCGTGAGTGGCAAGGCAAATCCCCGAAGTCATTTTTTGTGACCTGTTAAAGTGAGCATTGCTATTTCGGCACTCAGGAAAAGGTTCCTGCCTCTGGGCGGAAACCAAAATAGAAACTCTCTTTGGGTTCTCTTCTATTATTTTAAGTGTAGGAATTGTGGAGTCTTTGTTTTGCTGCACCGAGTTTGGGGTTCTCTATTGGAAAATCCCGGGTGAAGATTTTATTGCAGTGGCTCATTGGGTGATCTTGCTTGAGTAACTTCTTGGTGACTAAAATTAGTAGCAGAAAAAAAGAGTGACAGAGCTGCTGGCAGATTCACTTGAGTAACTTTGCCTGGCGGAAGCGGCCACTGTCACCTCTGTGGCCACATCCCAGCCTGGGTGTGGAGATGGGCAGAAAGGCTGTTGGCCCCATGTTCAGCATCCCACAATATAGAGGAACTTTCCCATGGTTTAAAAGAATTAGAGGCTATAAATATGATCAGCTTGCTTATTTCTATTAGTTGTAGTCTCCATAAAACTTGAGAGTGTAAGGAGAAGGCCAACTCACATGCACAGTCAGACCTCTGTGAGCATTCCTGGAGGAATTTTAAAATTTCTTCCTAGTTTCATAGGCATAGTGAAGAGGATGGCTGGTTTTCTGCTCATTTTGTGGATAAGGTATTTCTTCTCGTGCATTCTTTTAGGTTGTTGCTGCAGAGAAACTTACTTAAAAAGAAAATCCCTTTCACTGAGGGCTTCAGGAAGATATCCAGCCTCAGCCGGTGGCAGAAGTGTCTGTCTATGGTTCTTGTAGAAGGAGGTGTCCAAAATGTGCAGGGCCCCGTTTGTTTCTACAAGCCGGAGAGACAATATTTCCTGAACTATAAATATAATAGGAAGCTCTGGTCACACTCACTTAGGGGTTGGTTAGGGCTTCCATGGTCTAATTTCACAACATTATGCCAAGATTCCTTTTCTTCTGCTCTTTCCTCTGCTTCATTATTGGCAGCTCTGGGAGAGCAAGACAGAATTTTCTACCAGAAACGGAGTCATGTTCCTGTGTTGAGATGTGAAGAGTATTATATCCAAACCATTAGTGAGGGGAGAGCAAATTGCATCCTGAAAGATGGGCTATTAAAGAGGAAAACAGTCCTTTGAGCCTAAAAGATGCCTTTCGAAGCCTCTCTCTACCCTACTTAGCTTGGGGTCTGTCAGAGGTGCGCCCATCATGGAGAGTTCAGAACAGTGTGCCTCCATCCCTTTGGCTTCTAGGGCAGAAAAATTTTTTCCAGTCAATGATAAAACTGTAAATGGGGCTTCCAGACAGGGCTAAGGGGGTCAACCTAGGCTTCAGCCCTCATAGGAGTGGGGCACCTCAGTCCTAGCCATTCAAAGCCCCGGAACTGGAAGATCAGCCTAGGTTTATTTTGTGTGGTGTTTTTCACAAAGAAAGCTTCCTTCTTGCACCACATCCCCTCCTCACAAAGCAGTCTTTTCAATAATAATATTTGTTATGAAGGTTATTGGGTAATTATTGCGATTTTGTGAAGCAGCCCTTGCTAGAGGTGAAGTCTGTCATCACCTAACAAATGACGCCCGCGCAGTTCACTGCCGGGTTAAGTAAATGCAGAGAAGATAAATCTGCACACCCTAGGAATCGCCAGCAGAGCACGCTTTAGTACAAGTTCACAGTCAACTCGCCTGCCTGGGCCAGCTCACCCAACAATTAGGGCTGCGTCTTTATTTTTAAATAAAGAAGAAAAAGTCTCCAACTTCCATTACCTGCTCTCCCCATCTTTTTTCTTTTGCTCTTTGTGAGGTTCCTCCACCCCTACTCCCAATTTTCCTTGTAAATGTAAAGATGAGTGATTTCAAAAATAATCTCATTCCTATTTTAAGTGCTGACAACCAAGGATTAAGAGGCAGATTTGATGGAAAATAAAGTCACAAACACACAAAAATACCCAGTACACCCTCTTCTTCTAAAAGGCAGAAACAGGGCTTCCCTGAGACCCTGGGGCGGGGGTCTTCTCCCTGAAAGAAAAGGCACAGCTTTGTATATCTTTGTGGTTCGTGCGCGTTGCAACTGCAGGTCAAAAAGTTGAGGGTCAAAAGTTTACGTTGTGCAGCACTCTTAGTCATCTGCCCAGACGGAGCTGGACGTGAATGTTAGAGCTGCGATCTTGACTATCAGCACAAAAGATAAAACGGCTTGGAGTGACGCGTGTATCACGGTATGGACTCCAGGTGAACCCTAGTGGTTGAATGACCTCAATTACGGAGAAAAGGATAGAAAATTCCTCTTTTCAAGAGTAATACACGCTGTATTTCATCTTGAATTATTGCTCCCATTCTGAGGGAATAGCAGCAGGTAAATAGGCTTAGATTACTGAAACACCAACACCTTACTTGGAGAACCGGGAGGCTATGGATGGGGACAAAATTCAAAATGCTCCAAGCTCATCAGTGGGCATTTAAGAAATGACTTGGCAAGTTTGCAGTGCTCCGTTGTACCTTGAAAGGCAGGGAACTTCCTTATTTTGAAAACAGTGACTTTGATTTGCCTTCCCCCCCCCTTAGTACCCATAATGATCCCTAACGTGTGTGAGAACACGGGCAAACAAAGGCACTTCTTGCAAAATGTATTCTTTGCAATTTTCAAACACAGAACGCTTTTTCTGAAATTGTCATCCACTAAATGCAAAGCGTTCTTACAGCTGGGAAGGGGCGGAAGGAAATGGAAATCATCCCAAAAGAGACAGGATTCCTCTACCCCTCCACCAGGGAGAAGATGCTCATTGGTATCATGAGATTGTCCCTGTTGTTGGGAAATTTTCATTACATTTATTGTTCACTCTACACTGAGAAATACTACAATCTGTAAGTGAATGGCTAAACTGTAAAGAATATGACATTTGAGCAGGAAGGTGGAATCCACAAATGCCAGAGCAACTTCTATTCTCCAGAAAATACTCTTTAAAAATACATTTGGCATAAAAGCTAAGGAGAGGGGAAGCAAGCTGAGGAGGAAGGGTGGGAGAGTGGAAAAGAGAGGGAACAGTATGTTAAGGAAGGCAACTGGAACCGAGCCGCATGTGAGTTGCAACTGGAGAGCCAAACAATAGTTTATTTTTTATGCACTTATATTAGCTGTAAGTGTTGGTGCCATTAGCATCTATTTTCTGGGGGGCCTATTTTCCTTTTCCATG